CCTCCATGGCTGACTTCTGAAGCAGCTGCCGCCGCTTGGTCTCGATCAGCTCCCTGCGTCAAAACTCTCCTCTCCTCTCCCACTGCTCTGCTGAGGCTCCTGAGATGATCCATCTCACTGTTGACCTGTCACAGGCACCAAGACGGGCAACTTCAGGCGCCTTGAGAATCGCGCTACCGTCCGTTGATCTGCTCCTTTGGTAGTAATCTCCTGCATTGGGCGGACAGCACTCATAGATTTACTTGAGCATTCCAAATAAACGGCACATGACAAAAGCGCTGGGACCCGGTGAGGATTGATAATACCACGAATGGCAGCTTGGATTGCTAAACACGCCCCTTGCTTGTATGCAACCAGGCCACGCCAGAAAGGCAAACATAGGGCATTGCGCGTGTATGCTTGAAAGGGCTCTCTCTACTAGTGCGATGGATGAGAATCTGGTGCCAACCACATTGTTAGGAAAGCAGCTGCGATGCGGCGCTTGCTTGCACTGCAGTGCATGCACAGGTGCATTGCGTTGCGCCAGCGAATGCAAATGCAAATCCTCAGCCCAAACCCTAACGGTCCTAACGTTCCGAATTCTCGTATGGCTTTTCCAAAGGCTGTGGGAATAGGCTCGATCAGCCTTGCCCAGGGACAGTTTCCGTGGGATGTTTCATTTGCAGCCTTCTCTCGGGGGCCACTGTTGAGCCGCTGCAATTGGTTGGTTCAGTTTTCCGTCTAGCACATAAATACCATAAGTTAACCATAAGTGGCATTGGGGAGGGCTTGTGGCATACACGCACAGTTCCTGTAGTGCAGTGTTATCACAGCGCGGCCCCACTATCGAATGACAACCCAGCGCTGCAGATCCTGACCATGCATGCTGACATGATGGTTCTATATGTAACCCTTGTGAACCCCGAACAATACTAACTGCTTGTTCTCCGGCATGTGTTCTCCCCAAACCAAGAACTGCCAGTGGTAGAAAGACTGAGGCACAGTTCAAGGTGGCTCAAGTCCACAATATCCCAAACCCTAAGGCGCTTCGCCCAACACTGCAGCATCCTGTCCTCATCCGCAGAGCGGAGGCCCTCAAGAAGTGCCTCGGGACACTCGGCGACTTCAGATTTTTACAGGTCAGATACTTCAGCTGCCTCGGTGGTCTCGACCCGGGCATTCAGCCTGCGAATCCAGGCATCCAAGGTGTCCTGCACAACTCGACTCGGACTCCGACTCGACTCGGGCTTGAGTCATTGAGGCGTCTCGGCGTCTAGGCGTCCTTCCCAGTCCCACAGGCTTGGTCAATGGGCGTCCGCTCATGCTTCGTGTGTTCCCCCAGGATTAGGCAGTGTGAGCCTCGCCAGAGCACTGCGGTAGCACTGCATGCTTCACCTCGTCTCAGGTTGCGGCAAACTGGAGCACGGCAGGGTAAGCAATAGAAATCCTTGGTGATGCAACTCAGAAATCCTCGCTGAACCGAAAGGAGGTTGCAGCTAAGTGCGCTCACCAACTCCTGTCCATGCTCTGGACACACCATCCTGGACAAAGCACTCCCGAAGGTGCAAGCCAATGGCAAAGTGGCGCTGGCCTGCAATCCGCTTTGCTAGAAGCTTCCTGCAGGTTACGTGACACAAAATGCACCTGATTCGCCCAATCTGTTCCTCCGTCTGGTTGTCCAGGTCCACAAACGTGTGGCTTCGGTAGAAGCCTGCATGTGGATAGAACATCACCGTCAAATGCAATCACTTCAGCTGCCTTCATGCGTCTGCTTCACACAGTCCTGAATGAAGCAAAGCACAGTGCGAACCGGCGAGCTGATGAACCGTGAGCATGCAAGGCGAGTCCTCGCATAGCACCCCGCATTGCACACATCTCCTCGATGCATGTTTCTCCTTTCGAGCCGCACTGAGAAAATGTCTTGCCTGGGGCTTGCGCAGGCCTCGCAGCGCTCACAAATTGCCGCAGGTGATGCGGGTGAGGATTTTTCCTGGAGCAGGCTCACCCTGCAAGATCGGCCGGATGTCTTCGAACGCTGGCAGTCCGTGTCTTCCCCCTGCTTCGACACCTGCGTGCACTAGCAAAAGACATCTGTGTCAAGGCTGCCAACCTGTCCTGCAACCTATACTGGTCAACAACGATCTTCTTGGGCATATCCTTGCGGCGATGTGCAGCTCAGAAGAGAGGCAGGCAACGATAGGGCCGCTGACAACCTTGAGACCACCATCTGGGACACAGCTGGTCTCCTAAACAACGAGGCAGACAAAGCGCAAAGCATGAACCGCGAATCGCGCATTGAAAAACCGATTCCAAGCACGATTTGTCGCTGATACACCTGGGGCAGTTGCCCTCGACAACCTGAAGCCTCCTTGCTGTGGAAAAGTGCTGTGCAATTTCAGAGGAAGCAAGAAATCCAAGTTGACACCGGTGTTTGGAAGTTTCGCAAGCTTGGCATTCCATTCAACATGTGCAAGATATGGCACCTGCGAGAGAGCCATATGGGTCGCATGCTCGGCTCGACGAAAATGAGGCTCCAGCATTGCAAACTGGACAAGCGACAGGCTCGCGGCTCGACAGGTTCGTTACATGCGCAGCCTGGCCAGGCATGTCGCGGCATATCGCGGCATATTATCATTTCCTCACAGTTGGATTCAGAGCGAGTACGAGCGAGGACAGGTCGGGCTGGCGCACAGGTGGTGAGTGCAATTCAACGTAATTGGGTCCTGAAACTCTGAGCGAAAGTCACGGCAATGCAAGTATGTCTGAGACTCGTTCCACTAAAGTATCATGGCAAACTGGGCACGAGAACTCGTGTTCTAAGCCCATGCTGTGCCAGTGCTTGCTAGTTTAGCTGTAACATTTTACCACACTACCCAAACGCGGTTGTCAATTCCCATGTTGAAGCCAATGTTGCATGCGGTACTTTCTGAGCGGGTCAACCATTCGGCCCAAGGGAATTCGCTGTTGGCGTGCAACACAAGGATTGTTGTGCATTGCCTCCTTGTTCAAAGCCAAACGCCTCGAGCCACACAGAAATGCTTGCTGGTGCATGGCCCAAGTCCAATTCAAAGTACCGGCTAACAAAAAAAACAGTGCTTTTGGCACGCTTTAAATATTGATTAAGTTGTAGACTTGTTCCAATAATCGAAAACGACGCCGCAACATCAAAGCGCGTGATTGATTTTGGACCCTTAGAAAGGGAGCTTTTGGTTTGCCTTGAAATCAGTTTTGTTCTGCGACCTTTCAGTGCGCCAATAAAGATTAAGAACCCGCCTACCAACTGTAAGCAGGGCCGCCTAAACAAATGTGCGCGGTCCCAAACAACTTGTTCAACTGTTCTATTGTGGGGTTGCATCTTGGCGCTTTTTTGCCAACCTGGTGTCCCTGCGCAACGCGATCCTTCCACCTCGGGCTGCTGGCGTTTGAGTATGCTGTTGGCAAGGCCCTTGTGCCAGTGTGTGCTTGTGGGTGCGACACGAAACTTCGAACCCTTCCGGAACTCTAGCTTGACTCGCTCCGAACCACTCTAGGCCCTGTCCAGCTGCAGTTCCATGAAACCCTCAAACTATTCGGAGTTCCCTGCAACGCTTCATAGACCAGCACGGACGCGCGCGCGCTTTACGCAACATTCGTTTGCGCGGCCGACGCAGAACTTTCGCAAGGTCAGGTACTGTTGCCGGCAGGAGCAGCACAAAGGCAGATTGTGTGGCAGGCGCAGCACTTTCACACGGTCAGGCGCAGATTCCGTGACAGACGCAGCACTTTCGCAAGGTCGGTATCTGGATTTAGACAGTCGGCAGATAGATAAGTCAACAAATAGGTAGATAGATAGGTAGATGGATAGGTAGATGGATAGGTAGATAGATAGACACACAAAAAGCAACTGGACAGGTGGATAGACAAATAATCTGAAAGGGGACAAACTCTTCAATCTATGTTAGCTATCCAGCTACCTACCTGTCTTTCTATCCATCTATCTACTCATCTTCATTTTGAAAACAGCTGTTTTTCATCTTTTTATCGACCTATCTATCTAGCTATCAACCTCTTCACACTTTCAATCTATTCACTCTCAGCTTCTATGAAACACCTAATCTAAGCTGCTTTGACCCACCTACCTAGCTAGCTAGCTAGCTATCTATCTATTCGTTTACCTTCTGAAAACGCTGCGCCTTGCGCCTGCCAGAACATCCGCAGTTGACCTTGGGGGGGCAAACCCGCGCCTGACCTCTCAGGAAATCTGTACCCGACGTTGCGAAAGCGCTGTGCCACGCAATCTGCACTTGACCTTGCGAAAGCGCCTGCCACAATATCGGCACACGACAGTTGGGGCATCCGCGTCGTTGGGATTTGCGAAAAACAAAACGACGCATTCCAACATCGCGAGGGCGCTGCGCCTGTCCGACAGTCTGCGCACTCCGCGAAGGGGCTGCGCCCTTTTCGGGTTCCGTGCCACTGGCATTGGCGTCGAACCCGTTCAGCGTTCTCCCGCGAAGTTCTCCCGCGAAGAACGGGCGTCTTGCCAGAGGCTTAGCTTCTCCGGAACACACGAACGCGCATGGCGCTCACTTTGAGCGCTTTCTATGCCGAGCCTGCCACGCTATCTACCTCAGGTTGTCCACACTCACTTTCAGCACTATCTATCCGCAAGCGCTCTACCTCTTGTCGTCTCCTTTTTCTTTTCTTTTCTCGTCTCTTCTCCTTCCGCTCTCATCTATGCCCTTCAGTCAGCGCCAGCACTACAGAAGATTCTTCTAAGCTTCGTTTGATGATTGTAGGTCAATGCACAATGCAACTACGGCAAAACGCCCACGATTTGTTGATAGCATTGCGCAATTTTGGAAAGGAAATCAACAAGTGTTGAAGCCAGAATTCAGCCCGGTATGAATGTAATTTCTGGCATGATATGATATGTTGCATCTGTCAGAATGCCTTGGATTGCAAAGTCCATGTGTGGAGCACGCCAAACTTGGTCTTTGAAAGCGTTCACGCATGTGTACCCGCAGCGAATCGAGCTTCTTTTCCTGTCGCTTCCCTTTTGGGGGCAGGTGCCCTAAACCGATGCACTTGTGAGTTAGGTCCTGTGGACCTCCACAAAGTGCGGTGAAAATGAGGTCAGGCGCTCTCTGAACGCGAGGCTCCGTGCGGATTGCCTCTGAAAATCGCTTGGCCAACGGCCAGGTGCCAAATGCAACGCTCTGCACCCAAGTTGGCACCCAAGGGGCAGGCCGGTCTCCGGTCTCCCGAGTTGGCGACGGTATCCTTCCTTCACACCGCGACGCCGCCCTCCTTGGCAAGCGCCTGGAACTTGGAGGGCCGCTTCAGCAGCTCCTGCGACCCGACCCTTCGAACTTCCGAACCCTGAGCTCCGGAGCTCCGGACCTGAGGCGAGTCGAACTCGACCACCTTCCCGCTCTCAAAGACGGCGACCTTGTCGTAGTCCAACCTGAGGCGAGCTCAAACTTCGGGCACACAAAACATCTGAGTCAAGAGCAGAGTCTGGATTCGGTGAGCGATCGTGATGATGGTGCAGTTGAAATCCGATCTGATGACCTGTCGCCGCTGCCATCAAGACTCTCGCGGCAGTCAGCATGGCCTTCTGGATGGTCTGGTCGGTCTCGGCATCCAGCGCGCTCGTCGCCTAAGACCCCCCGGCTCAACATGCATGCGCGCCTCGCGTGCACCTTGCCTCGTCGAGCAGCAGCAATCCGCCAGACTCCTCGATGGCCGAAGGCTTGAGATTTCTCCACACTCGCACTGGCATGAACTGAATGCGAGAAGCACATGGCAAAGGGCCCTCTGAATGGACCGTCCATCTGCGCCTGGCGCCGCAGCAAGGCCCGGGAGAGGCACAGGAGCTGCAACTCCCCCACGGAGAAGTTGCCGCCCCCCTCCTCCACCTAGCTTAACAAAAGAGACGGCAAGGCTCTGAGAAGACCAAGAAAAAAGTGGAGCAATCGGAGCAATCGGGCACCTCTTAAAGAGCAATCGAAAATTCACGGAGCCCTTTGAGCCGAGCCAAGACGGCGCCTTGCTGTCCAGGCCTCCAGCGCTGTCCACGCGGGGCCTGCGACGACGCGTGGGAAAGACGTCCGACGTCCGTCCGTCCGTCCGTCCGACGGCTCCCCGAGCTCCCCGAGCTCCCGGCTTGAGCTGCGCCTTCTCCAGGGCCTATGGCAAGCGCCAAGCGACACATTCGTCACATTCGACACGGGGTACCCGCGCAAAGCTCCGGGCCTCCCAAAGCTCCTGGCAAGTGCATCCAAGTGCATCCAAGAGCAAAGTGCATCCAGCTCTCCCCGAATTGCTGCCTCGTCTGTTTTGGCACCGAAGGGGTCCAAGTTGAACCTCACCTCAGACATCAGTGAGGCCAGCGCCATGCGGCATGCTTGCCATGACCAGCTCGGAACTTGGTCGCCTGCCGAACCTGTGAGGATGGCTGGGTCCTGTGCCAAGGAAACGTCTGGACTTGCGGCAAGCCAACGTCCGCCTGAGGAATCATGGCGACCTGGGGCGGAGGTCAAAGGCACATGCCAGCAGAAAGCGCATCACGACAAGACCAATTGGGTTCGCCACCATGCGCTTCCAAAACGCAGGAACTCAGGCCCCTGCCGTCTCGCGCAGGTCGTGCAGGCCAACGTTGCTGATGTCCACCCCGTCCATCGTGATGTGGCCCGCCTACGGTCAGGCGGTTGCCGAAGCAACGCTCAAAACGACAAAACGGCCTCCAGCTCCACCAAGCGGAGGAGGGTCGACAAGAACGAAGACTTGCCGCAGCCTCGCGAAGTGACCAACGAATTTCACTTGTTCAAATCACTTGTTATCTGAATCCATGCCCTGCGCTTGCAGGCAAATCAGCATTTTCGATCATGGGGTGCGCCAAATGTCCTCGAACTAATTGAGCAAAACCAAGCACCGGAATCAACATGCACATCCACATGAGTAGGACATAAACTCGAGCAAGTATCACATCGATACGAGTGCTTGGTCGACATCCCCGCGACATGTTGAAGGGATTTGGGAGGGTGGGCATTCCTGAATCAACATGGAGAGGGCAATGAAATCAACATCCCACCCGTCCCGCCCTTTGCTTGAGCACAGGGCGTTCGCCATGCTCACTCCATGCACACAGCAAACAACGAGCTATGACATTCGTCACGCTTCTCTTGTTAGCTGAATCCATGCCCTGCGCTTGCAGGCAAATCAGCATTTTCGATCATGGGGTGCGCCAAATGTCCTCGAACTAATCGAGCAAAACCCAGCACCGGAATCAACATGCACATCCACATGAGTAGGACATAAACTCGAGCAAGTATCACATCGATACGAGTGCTTGGTCGACATCCCCCTTTAGCATACAAGCACGAGTGCATGGAGACATCAACATACCCTTTCATGCCTTTAGGGAAACTCGATCTCAGACCAACGGATCGGCACGCGATGCGACCCTGACTGAATTAATGGTTGCACAACCGCCCTCGAAGGTGCGTCAGCTATGTTAGATGCAGAGGGCACGCGCGCTGTCCAAACAAACAGCCCCGCACTCATGACCACGCGCTGAAATCTTCTAAGAAGATTGTTGTGCGCCTCCAAAGGACTGTACATGGAAATAAGTGACGAGCGGGCGGACTCATTATCAACATACAAGAAGATTCGCTCCTGCTTGATTGAATTGGAAAGCATCTCCACGGCTAGCACAGCAGCAAACAGTTCGAGTAAGCCTATGATCTTCCTGGTGCGTTTTTGCCACCGCTCCATCAGGAACCCAGGAATTTCTTCTGCGAAAAATCGGCTCTCAACAACCTGGCCCACTACAACACGCAAAGCCACCATGCCAATGTATCCACGCTGGTCGCCGTCCTCTAACGAGGCATCTGTGAAGATGATTCAGCGACTTTTGCTCATGCCAACCTTGAGGCATCTGGGCCTGCTGGCATTGAGGTACTCGCTCACCCAGCCCAGCTCTGCTGCCAGGACCTCATCCACTTCTGTGTTTAGCGACTTGCTGGCAGCCCTGCTCTGGAAAGCTCTGAGGTTAGCCGCCAACACTCGGCCAAAGGTATGTGTTTCGGCAAACTGCAGCCTCCCGCGTAGCGCAAGAGCTTGGTGCGATGGGAGCGAATTGCAAGCAAGAATTGCATTGATCTCATCCGATATTGCAAGCACACGTGAAACTTTGTTGCGAACGACGACATCACCAAGGGCAGATCTTGATAGGTCGAATGTGACACCCAATGCGTCGAAGCACGGCCTCATAGGCTGGCTCTTGGCCTCCTTGACTGAGTACTGCCAACCAAGCATATCAAAGAGCCTCTCAGCCGCTTGCTGCGCGTCATTTCCACAAACTGCCAAGTCAAGTTGGGGGTAATCATCAAAATAATTACCCCAAATCAAGCCGAAGAGTCGCTCGCCGATGCCATGAAGCGCCCGGGCACAGCGGTTAAACCCATACACCGACGCTGACGCCCCGAAGGGCAGGGCCTGCGCCACAAACAACTGCTTTTGCGCCTGAGGGTTTTCAACAGCAAGCACTGAAGTCCACAGCGAAGATTTGGCCACAAGCAATTGTTTGTACGCTGCGTCCAAGTCCAAGGTCCTACCGCACAGCCGCCTGGCTTCGCCATGAACAAACGACGCATGAAGAGCACCCTCTAAAACCTCTCCCGAGCTCAGGATGAGCCGCACATAACCGTCTGAAGAAGCTGCTTCCAGGAACGTGCGTGCAAGCACGGCAACACCGTCAACACCAGTCAGTTCCAGCTTGTGTGACGCTGCAAAGGCTGCGTTGACCAGTGACTCAGACATGTTGTCAATTGGACGTATCTTGCTCTGCTGCTGCTGCTGGAGCCCAAACCTTCTGGAGACAACGAAGAGGGGACCCAGTTTCCTACCGAGCTCCTCCTTGCTGTGTGGGCCCTGCAACCATCCTTTGGCTGTTTCGTCCAAAGCGCTCTGCCAAACAGCACTGCGAACATCTTCCCCGCAATCTATGGGGCGCTTGTTCAGGATCGCGTTCCGCGTCCACCTGGTGGACTTCATGAGTTGCGCATCGCTCATGGATGGCCGAGCGTCAGCCTCAGCAAATTGGCCAGTGCGTCCAGACACACCCGTCAAGGGAACGCCATTGGCAACTAAATCTGCAAGGCCGTCATCATCAATTCCGGCGTCAGCTGCCATTCTCTGCAGGAGTAAAATTCGTTTCTCAGAGATGATTGCAGCTCTATCCGGATCCAACGACGCGTGAATCTTTGCCTCAGCTTCCGCAAGAGAACGCCCTACCTCCTCATAATGTGTAAACAACGCCTCGCGCTCATCACGAATGCAGAGACGCCCTCTAGTGAGGAGGCGAAACATTGCCCTCTTTGCATAATCAGAAACCGTGGAGTCATCGTCAAACGGGTGCCTGACTTTGATTGCTTCATTAACAAACTCATCCGGAGTTCTCCAAATACCCACATCGACGGCAGCGCTGGCATTCGAGCTTGCTGCTGCCTCCGGACTACCCCGCTTAACAGGCAACACTTTGGCAAGCACAGGAATGCCATGAGCTGCTGCAAACTCAGCTGTGACTTTGCCTGGAGGAGGTCTTTCGAGGCAAGGAACCGACCGAATTTCTTTGAACTCCGAGATGATTTGAGGCATCATATTGCCTCGCGGCTGCCGCCCTGCTTCTGCTGCACAAAGTTTAGCCCTTATGCTGGTAGCTGGCAATTCTGGGGCTGCAAAGGGAAAGGAAACTCCAGCTGCACAAGCCCTTTGAGCAATGACATGGGAGATACGTTCACACAAACCTTGCGGATATTCTGCCGCGGCAGCCGCGTGGAAAACCCACTGGCGATTCTCCGCCCCGTGATTCCAAGGCAAGTGCTCGTGGGAATTGTCGCACTGCAATGCCAGGCAACGCATATCCTGTTCGTTTGTGTAAAGTGTGCACCATTTGTCCCGACGGCCGCCGTGCATACATTGTTGGAAGCTCACCGGAAACAACCCAAAATCGCGGATGAGGGCCTTGAACCAGCGTGTGTGCCACATGTGAGAGCGAAGTGGGTGCTCAATGGTGATTATGGCATGCTTTCCCAAAGTGCGGATAATTTTGCAAACATTCCTGTAAATGCAATTAGCAGCGCGAACTCGCTGTAGCTGCACATTCGTGAGGTTCGGAAGGCCATGCGGATACTTGGCAGACCGCAACGGCTGCGAGCACGGCGCGCCTCTGCGCGGCACATGCTGCAGGATCCTGTGCCCACGCGAACGGGTTTCAGTCCCAAAAGGAGGCGCTGCATGTATGTAAAGAATGTGACCCGGCGTATCCAAGACACCTTGCACTTGGGCAAGGCACTCATCATTTGCAAGGTCAATGGGCACAATAGCATGCAGCGGCCTATGGCGATTTTTGGAATGATCCACCGCCACTGTGTTAAAACCTTTCGTTCGAAGCACATTTGAAAGTCGGGCGCACCCAGCGCAGAGTTCTATACACGTAATTCGTGAGCTGGGCGCACCCTGCATGGCACTGAATTTGCGTTTCGACCCAGAAGCCCCAAGGTCTGCACGAGCTGCGGGGCTCAGGTCCTGATCAAAAGGCTCGTTCTCAGCGTGCTCCAGGAGCAAAGGTCACGGTGACGTTGGGTGCTGAACCTGCGAGTGGGCTTGACCACAGCCGTGTCGCATGCACAGATGCCACCCCTTCTCACATCGCTCCCCCGGCCGTGCTGCCTTGCAGCCCTTTGGCAAGTTGAAGTCATAGCAGCACGGTTCGCCAGAAGGGGTTGTGGGAGAAAGACCAATCAAGCTGGACGGAAGACGGATAAAGTTAATCTTCCCCTTGCCCTTGCCTCGACCCTTCTTTGCGGGCACTTGGTTGGAACTCTGTGCCTTGAGGTTGCGAATCTGGCCTTGCAAGTTCTCAATGGTTCTTTTCAGTCTGTCACCATCACCCTGGTCCTTGGGCTTTTTCTTGTCGGGCTCATCCTCGTGGCTGTCATTGCGCCTCTTGCCCTGTAAAGGCTGGAGACATAGGCGAACAGCCGGAGCTTGAATCGCTGTCTTCAAGGCCTTATCCAGGGGCTGAACTCCATTCACAGCCTTGATGCCGGATCTGGTCTCGCGCATCATGAACTTGAACAATTCCAAATCAGCACGGTGGACCTGCTCAATGTTAGGCTTGTTGTAGCCCTCCGGCGGTGGTGAAGTGTATGCCTCCAGAAGGACCTAGCTCCACTTCTCAAACTCCTCATAGTCAACCAATCGCGCTTGGTCAAACGCCAAACTCCTCCGCTGCAATGCGAACTTCAGCTTGAGGTCCGTGTTGTAGTCAGCTTTGAGAACCTCTGCCACCTTGGTCTCCTTGATAACGCCGCTGGCGTCTGGTCTCCACACAGGCCCATCAGTTCCTGGTCGCGCTTGGTGCATTCCTCCCAGCGCACGTAGCGGAGCTGCCCCTCCTCAGCCATTTGAAAGACAATATCTATGAGGCGGTGGGAGGGTTCTAGCTCCCCCGTCAACTCCAAGCCTTTCAGCCGCTTGCACTGCTCGGTGTAGCGGGAGGTCCGCTCGGCGTGCGCCAAGCACCGAGGCGCATCACCATCCTTGCGCTCGAGCCGCGTGCGCATGTCCGCAGCCGCCAGGGTGTAAGCTTCGAACACCAAGCGCCTGATGACCGGCAAACGGTCATCAGGCGCAGGGTCCTCGCCAGTGATCTTGCTTGCCAAGACTTTTAATGGGCCATCATCAGACTGCCCAGGAACATAGTTGCTGGCAAAGGCCAGCCTCCCAAAGGTGTGGAAGCGCATCGCTTTCAGCTTTGTCAGCTCGGCGTCCAAGATTCCAACTTCAGTGGCTCGCGCCTCAAACTCTGCTGCCGAATCCAGCATGGCCGACTTCTTCTTCTTTTTTTTCCTAGAACGAGCCTGTTGCTGCGGTTTGCGGACATTATTCATACATCGGCCAGCTGAGCACATACTCAGGACACTCGGCATCAACATTGTGCAGGTGTTGAGTCCGGCACAGGACACGCATGCGCTGCTGCGCCGGAGCGATTCACAGGCAATTCCTGTGGCGGCACAAATAGGTCTGGTCAGCCACACCGTTATAAAGCACAAGGTGTTCCGCAGCTTTCACAGACCAATCAACATGAATGATGCGAGACCCCACGCCTCGTACATTTTAAACACGCAGCAGCGATGACATCAACATGGTGAAATCATGCATGGCTTAACCATTACACATTTACATTGCCCCAGCAGAAGCTGCAATGGGGCCAGGCTTTGTCAGGGTCGCCATGGAACCTGACGTATGACAAGCGACAGTCTGCCACACGCAGTTTTGTTATGCTCGAAAAGCAGGACTTTCGTTCTGGAGTGTCTGTGAACCATACCAACTGCAGCGTTGGGAGAAACGTTACGGCAGTTGCCGTAACCTTCATTTGCGTGTGCAACATCAGCCATGGCATGCTCTGCCGATTCGCTGTCTGACTCTGCAGCATCTGAGTCTGGCTCTGACTCGTGGTTCTCCTCAGCCCCGAAAGGCCTTGCACACATGGCTCTATCACCGGATCAATATCACGGCTTTCCTGACACAGGAGATCCCACATTGCTTGAAACTCTGCCTCGTCGGAGGATGAGAGGACCTTGTCCAAGTCACACCCAAGGAACCTCTCAGCAATTGCACGAAGATTCATACTTAAATTGGACTGCATTTGATTCAGCGCAGAGATGAAGTCTGGCCCCTGCGGAAATTCATCGCCCATGGGCGCACAAGGCAGAAACGAACCCTCCTGAATTTTGTTGAGAATAACCATCATGTGCCGAATAGGAGCAGCAAGTGCTTTGCGCTGATAATTGATTGCACTCACATGTTGGGTCAAATGATACCCCAGAAGTTCCGAATAGGTGTAGTCACAACCATGCACACTCACGAAGGTGAGGATCGTGGCCTTTAATGAATGGCTCCTAACCCCATCTATGGCAGATTTGTCGAAGAACCTGCCCAGAAGACAATGCAAACCCTCGGTGACTTCGGTGCTTGACACTTTGTCGTACATCCAGATGCACCGTAGCCCTGGAGGGTAACAATCCAAAGCTTCTGTCTGAGGCTTTCGAATCCAGTGTCGGAATCCCGTTGAGCCCCAGCATTTTGCGTGTCTGGACGAACGCCTCAAACCAATCTGTGCCTAATATCCCAGTGAACTGGTAAAAATGAGCATTGCTTCTCCTTGCTCCTTGCAGTCTTGACTCTCATGAGTGAGCCCTCTGCAAAGTTCCCCAAGACTGACAAATGCACCAGCCGATTGGCGTCAGAAACCCTCAGTCTGCCATAGGCACAAACAAGACAGAATCCGGCCAGGGCTCGCAGATAGGTGTCACACTCCATGAAACATGCAAGCTCCAAAACGCCCAGCATGTCCGTTGTTAGCTCGCTTGCTTGCTTTAGAGGTCGCTTGCCCAGGTACATCTCCAGAGCTGCGCCGCGACATCTTGCTGAAACAACGCACTCTGCAGCGCCTTCCACACCAACAACCTCTTGCGCAAAGGTAAGTGAACTCAGGAAAGTTGTCCCTCTCGAAGCCGGACACGCTCTGCTTCTCAAGTCACACAAATATGCATACACCTGAGGCTCACGGAAAGGAAGGAAGTCCGTGCCGCTCAGATTGGCGTCGCACCAACTGAAGTACAACGCCAAGGACGAAGCACGTGTTTTGAGAGTGCTCGTTGCCTTGGACCTTAAGGCGTCTGCAATCATGACAAAGCACTTATTTCACTCCGCTAAGTTCTCTGTCTCACTCATCAGCTGACACCCCAACGTTGAAACCGCCGGCGCGCGAAGAACAAGCTCTGCCCATCGGAGAAGGACTCTCGACCTTTCGTGATCTGCGCTGAAACTAGCAGCACGCAAACAACTACGCTTGACCATCTGCTTCTTAACAACCTCAGTCATCTGCGCAGTTTGGCCAGATTCCGGCTCGCTCGAAAGAGGCGGCAGACTTCTGGGCACTTTAGCTGGTCTGAGCCATGGAGGTGGGTCGTCACCAAATACTGAGTTCAGCAAACCATTCAGCTCCCACGGCATTTTCATACTGTGAATATGGCTTCCCATGGCTGTGGCACTACTCAATGCCCTTTCCACTGACTCATTGCGGGGAGCCGCAACTCCGACATCAACCTCAAACCCCCGCTTCATTCCTGAATCAACATGGAGAGGGCAATGAAATCAACATCCCACCCGTCCCGCCCTTTGCTTGAGCACAGGGCGTTCGCCATGCTCACTCCATGCACACAGCAAACAACGAGCTATGACATTCGTCACGCTTCTCTTGTTGAGGTCACGATGATTTCCCTGGCCTGTACGACCAACAATGCCCACACGTTCGCGCTCCTGGCGCAAGATCATGGCAGCTGGCAACCCATCGCGTCCGTTTGAGTCACATGCCTTGATGTTCAGTGAGATGCCGTTCAGGACCTCATCCGGAGTCGACCGCGAAAGAGGGAAAGACCCGACAGAGCTCAGGAGCTCAGGGGGTCTCACAAATCAGGAGAGATGAGAAAATCTGACCGGACGCCCCGCTTCCACACCTTTTGAGAGCGTACTGTCTGAGGGTTGAGCGATGGGAAGACCCTCTCGGTACCGCATCATGACCTCGGCAACCGCAAGCTCCATGGTTCACACTTGTTAAGGCCGCGGGCGTTGTCCACCGTGACGTTGCCATGATCTGGGTCGTGGGTTAGGCACTTTGTACACTCGGCTCGCATTTTCGTGCCTGGCCATTTCGGCGGCACGGCATGCGGTATTCGCAGCGCAGCCTCCTGGCTGATGGGTGCATGCGGCGAAGGCAAATGCTGGAACAACACGGGCATCCTCACGGCTCTCACGGCTCCTGCTTGACATTGGTCACATAGTTCTGCACTCGCTCAACCGATACCATCTGCGTCTCGCGATCAGCGGACTCTCTGTTCACCTGGCTCGACTCCGCTCGAGCAGAAAAGCAGAGGAGCAGAGGTGCAGAGAACGGCTTGTGCCAACATGTCATGCATTACGATAATTCCGACTCTTCAGTCGGAGCGTTGAAGCGTTCCGTTTTCGTTTGGCGCCTGGTTCAGGGTGTCGGTGAGCCGCAAGGCGTAGGTGATGGCCAGGCCCATGACCCCAGCACTTACTTGCTTGTTGGTCGAGAGGTAGATGCCCAAGATGCACACTGCGCCCACCTCGGTCAGCTATATCTGCTTAGTTGCTTTCTTTCTACTTGACACTTGCTTCACACTTACTCCACACTTACTGACTTGATTTAGCTTTATTTGCTCGAGAACTCTTTGAGGCATGCACCAATATGGTGCCGTTGAACTGCAATCTGAGACTCAGCCAGCGCGCCTGAAGTTTCCAGGCATGCCACAAACGCTGCATCACGTTTGAGGCCAGGGTACAGCGGTGTTGCTGAGATAGTAGGCTTCCATCTGCGACTCCAACCTGTTGAATGTGTGCTTCGAAATGGTTGCAACATGAGAGGCTGGCACCTTGCTGTGTTGGTATGCATGCAGCGCTCCTGTGGCATTTGCGTCGCTCCCGTGTGTTCCTTTTGTAGTTCGGTCGTTTCTGTCATTCTGTCCTGCTGCTGCATAGCGCGGATAGTGGACACGCCATGCATGGACTCCGAGAAGTGGCTGAAGATTGGGCTTCGTGCAGCCTAAGCTCGAGTGCACTGCCACACTGCCTCGCAACAAGCCTACGGACCACAGCACATTGTGCACGCGTGCATGCCAACTGCGACGCACAAACCGCACAAACCCTTGCACGACCTGAATCAACTATCAAGGAGCAGCGTCGAGACGCCGCAAATCTCGAGTGGCGGGCAAGTACCTCAGCATGAAACGGGCCAAGTGGATCATGACCATAGGCGCGCCTTTTGGCCAATTTCGCGTAGAGGAAGAACATGGGGACCATCAGGAAGATCAAGTACCTGCGTCCCCGAAGGCACACGATGTGGCCATGCGGCAAAGCGGAGCGGAGACAAGCGGGCACCAGCCAACCATCATACAAACCACTACGATGGAGGCAGCTCGCCAAAACCTCAACAGGTCTCGACCCGTCGTGACTGTGCATCATGAGTGACCGGCACTTGCCAATATCTTGCAGCCCTATGTTATCTCAACCAACGCGTTGATCAAATTTGGCGATTCTTCTCATTTTGCCAAGGCACCAAATGATGTTAGCAGACATCCTTGGCTCAAGCGCTCCAAGCAACTCTTGTGATCGCACGTTCGAAGCGCAGATTGCAAGCTTCGTGTAGCAAGAATTAAGGGTGGCTCGTCTGAGGCAAGTTGTAATCCAAGATGTTGGTGTCCTGCACGCTTTGCCGCAAATGTCTTGACTATTTGATGCTACTGGAAACGAGATCGGAAGGACTACCCGGCGCTTCGCATGCAAATCTGGACCAGCCTCTGCTAAGCGGTTGAGGATTTGACCGTTTGGGGTCAAGTCAAAGAAGGACCTCAACAGTGCATGAGACGGACGATGTTGAAACAGGAATGTGCCAGGCTGAGCTCACAGCATGTGTGCTCGGAGTAAGGCGTGAAGACAGTTCTCGTGCAGCACACGTGACCTGTCAGCGCAAGGTTGCGAGGTGGTGCGCTTTCTATCTTCACTGTCCTTTATGGAAGCCCAAGCCCGCAGCCCCCGTTGGCCAACAAGCACGCGGGTGGTGGAGTACGCCACACCGGTGACCTCGCCATGGGCTGTTTCCTTTCCCATTCTCCCCATATTTACCCGGCTTTCCAGCGGGATTGGCTCTGCCTGGCTCTGCCTGGCTCTTGCCTTCTTGGCCGTCCGAAACCGATTGGCGCCGGGCGAGGCAAATCAGCGCCGCCAGCGCATAGATGGCGAGGCCGTCGGAGGCGCCCCCCGAGCCGCTCCAGTGCGCCAGCCACCCGTCCGAGAAGTTCCGAGATCCCTGACATCGGAGAAAAAAGGAGAAGAAAAAAATAAGAAGAAAAAAAAACACGAGCTCCGAAAGCATCGGAAACGCATCGGATGCAAACTCTTTGGGAATGGAAACGCGGAGTTCTCCGTGCCTCGGAGACGGCCACGGCCAGAAGGAAGGCGCCCACAGCGGGTACGCCTCCACATGCTTTGACATACCTGAAGTCACCGTTGCGCGTTTGCGCGTCGAGCCGCAAGCCGATTAGGCTGCTGGCGCCAAGTAGACCTGCCACGAAACAGCTCCAGACCGACGCTCCTCCTGCGTGGCTGCAGCCTCAGCTGAGATCGAGGGCGATCTTATCGAATTCTCGCATTGCCACTCCTTGACAGGCTTCACTTCCTTCTTGGGAGCCTCCTTCACCTCTTTCTTCTCCTCCTGATCTGGGCACTTGTCAACTTGACAGGGCACCCAGGCTGGCCTCGGCTGGCGCCGCATCGGGCTCAGGCTCAGGATCCTCATGGACAACCTCGTGCAATCTGGTGGAACTCTGGTGGCACTCTGCAGACTTGGATCACTCCGCACTCTGCGAATTGGTTGCGACGTTGCAAATTGGTCGCCTCGTCACTCACGGCCCCGGAGCGCTTGAACTCCTGCCGGCGCGCTTCGGACGGCGGTCCCATGGAAACCTATGCAAGAGGGACCTACTACGTGTATCATGTTTACATACTCATGTGACTTGTGAGATAATATTGAAATTTGATTTGTCTATGGTTGATTCCGACAGTCTTGGCCTCGGCGGAACCAGAACATGGCTTGCAGCCGGAACCCATCGGAACTGACAGAAACCGAGCGAACGAGCTACGCTCATTCCAAGCCAAAGAAGCCAAACCTCGAGGCATGCCCCAAACCCCAGCTTCACCTCCAGATTTACCATGCCCGACGCCTCTGCCCGCTGGCTATGTTGTAGGTCTAATGCACAAAGGCTAGATTGCCAATCGATTTTGGTGGCAAGCATGTCCTTCTTTCCATGGCACATCACGTATTCAGGCCTCAGTCGTGCAACTCAGTCCTCGTAGCTCCCACTGAAAGCGACCTGAAGGCAAAGCGCCAAAACCGCCAGACCGCCAAAGCGCCAGACCGCCAAACCGCAAAGGAAGCAGCGCCAACAGCAAACCGCCATTTCGAGCCGGTTCCATTCAGCTGCGAGCCTTCTTGTCCTCCAAGCAGACCACCTGGTGCGCCAGGGGCGCCGCTTTCGGAGAATGCCTCAGGCCGACACGGCTGTCCCACTGTCCTACACGTGTGTATAGGCAACGGGTCGAGATTTAATTTGGGATTTCTGTTTGTTTTATTTTGGGATCTTTTTTTGTTTTCCGTCCTGGCTACTAAAATGCTGTAATTTACCGCATTTTCTCGCGAAAGGTACGTATTTTACGCTGGTCCGTCAACATCATCAGCATCGTTTTCAACATCCCCCGCATGTCCAGCCAGCATCCCCAGCATCACCAGCAAATGGGCCCCGCATCTCATGGTAAAAGTGAGGATTCAAATACGGGCAAACTAATCCCTGTAAAACACCTAAAACGTGGCGGCAGCCCCCCCCCCCCCCTTGATGATTGAAGAAGTGATGATTCAAAAAGGGCAAAAACAAATATATAAAAAACAGTGGGGGGGGGATCATCAGTTCCTCTGCGGCAAGGCCTCATGGTACAAGTGAGGATTCAAATACGGGCAAACTAATCCCTGTAAAACACCTAAAACGTAGTTAGGGCCAAAAAAATGTATAAAAAAGCAGCGGGGGGGTCATCAGTTCCACTGCGGCAAGGCCTCATGGTACAAGTGAGGATTCAAATACGGGCAAACTAATCCCTGTAGATCGAAAAAGTGATGATTCAATCAGGGGCACAAAGTCTAAAAAATAGCGGGTGGGTTGGGGGGGGGCGGCAGCCCCCCCCCCATGATGATCGAAAAATTAAGGGCAAAGAATCTAAAAAGGAGCGGTCTCATGATGATCGAAAAAGTGATGATTCAATTAGGGGCAAAAAGTCCGAACAATAGCGGGGGGGTTGGGGGGGGGAGGCAGCCCCCCCCATGATGATTGAAGAAGTGATGATTCAAAGATGGCCAAAAAATATTCTAAAAAGCAGCCGGGGGTCATCAGTTCCTCTGCGGCAAGGCCTCATGGTACAAGTGAGGATTCAAACACGGGCAAACTAATCCCTGTAAAACACCTAAAACGTAGCGGGGGGGAGGGGGCGGCAATTCCCTCCATGATGATTGAAAAAGTGATGATTCAATTAAAGGCGCGGGGGGGGTTGGGGGGGGCGGCAGCCCCCCCCATGATGATCGAAAAAGTGATGATTCAATCAGAAAAGTCTAAAAAATTGCGGGGGGGTTGGGGGGGGCGCCCCCCCCATGATGATTGAAAAAGTGATGATTCAATTAGGGCCAAAAAATATACAAAAGCAGCAGGGGGGTCATCAGTTCCTCTGCGGCAAGGGCTCATGGTACAAGTGAGGATTCAAATACGGGCAAACTAATCCCTGTAGATCGAAAAAATGATGATTCAATCAGGGGCAAAAAGTCCCAAAAAAAAGCGGGCGGGTTGGGGGGGGCGGCAGGCCTCCCCCCCCATGATGATCGAAAAATTAGGGGCAAAGAATCTAAAAAGGAGCAGTCGCAAAAAATAGCGGCCCCCCCCCCCATGATAATCAAAAAATTAGGGGCAAAGAATCTAAAAAGTAGCGGTCGCATGATGATTGAAAAAGTGATGACCAAAAAATCGCGGGGGGGGTTGGGGGGGGCGGCAGCCCCCCCCGTGATGATTGAAAAAGTGATGATTCAATTAGGGCCAACAAAATATACAAAAGCAGCAGGGGGGTCATCAGTTCCTCTGCGGCAAGGCCACATGGTACAAGTGAGGATTCAAATACGGGCAAACTAATCCCTATAGATCGAAAAAATGATGATTCAATCAGGGGCAAAAAGTCTAAAAAAATAGCGGGCGGGTTGGGGGGCGGCTGCAGCCCCCCCCCCCATGATGATCGAAAAATTAGGGGCAAAGAATCTAAAAAGGAGCGGTCGCAAAAAATAGCGGGCCCCCCCCCATGATGATCGAAAAAATAGGGGCAAAGAATCTAAAAAATAGCTGTCGCATGATGATCGAAAAAGTGATGATTCAATTAGGCGTGCAATTTAATCGAAAGGGGGGTGGCGGGGGGCACCAGAGAGGAACTTGCGATGCTGAGGATGCAGGAAGCCAAGGCCAAAAACCAACTGGGAAAGCATCAGGATGCGAAAAGCCAAAGCCAAAAAGCAAAAAAGCCAAAAAGCCAAAAAGCAAAAAAGCCAAAAAGCCACCTGCCGCGGAACTGGCAATGCAAAGGATGCGAAAAGAGAGGCACTGTGAATGCAGATGATGCGAAACGAAAAGCCACAAAAGCCACAAAAACCACGTAAAAGCCACAAAAGCCAAAAAGCCGAAAAGCCACCGACCCTGAAAAACAAAAAAAAAAGGAAAAAACAAAGAAAAAAAAACATCCTAAAAAAAATGGCCCTCCATAGGCAACTCATCTTTGTAACGTTTGCCTTCCTTCAGGCTGCGACGTGACGAGGATCACAGTCTTGCCGGCCTCAATCCGTTCCCAACTTAGCCCATGAGGCAGAAAGATCCAAGTGAGAAACAAACAAGGAGCTAAAATGTATCTTGAGAGAAGTGCTGTTACCAACCGAGCCGTTTGATTCACTGCCAGGGCTGGGGTAAGCACCAGCAAGGGTCCACGAAGCAGCTTGTTGCAAATGTGGCTGGCCACATGGCCTGCCAATGATGAGTGCTCCTTCTTTCCACTGTGGAATGCAAATGGCGGAGCAACTACAGCTTCCCTTCAAGGATCTTTGGAAATCAAAACAAACTCAGTGATGCTCGCCGGATGTGAGCACCAATTTCAACTTGGCGTCCCGCTGTCCAGCGCAGACAGCACGTCCTTGACAGCAGATCTGCTGCATGTCACATGTCCGTCCTGGGCCCAGCGTCAGAATGAGGCCACTGCATCGAGGATGTAAATGTCCTGCACAGATTGTGTCTGAAGCTCATTCACATGTCACAGGATTGCAGTCCGGATTTGCATACACAGCCCGCGCGAGGGCAACTCGCTGCTTCTGCCCGCCTGGCTAAAGGACTCAAAGTGCCCAACTGGGCACAGGTCCATCAAGGCACCCAGGCACCTGAAAGGTTAATGCCGCGGTCTCCGATGGCCGTCTGGTCGCCCTCTGGCAACACCTTGGCTCGATCTGCGTGTGTGCGATGCGTATAGTGTGCCTGTGTCTGTCTTTGGGGCATCGACATCCAGATCCGAACGCAGGGCGCAGGCGTCAAGGACAGCCTCGCGTGCGTCAAGACTCATCTGAGATCTGATCTCTGAGCTCTGCGCCTCGTATCGCTCGTCGTGGTCCATTGCAGCAGAGCTGGTGATCTAAGTGATACGCGACTGGAGAAGCGGTCAGGCCGGTCAGGCAGAGTCGAGAGTCGGCAAAAAAAGAAAAGAAGCCCTGAGGGCCCTGAGGGCATGAGGGCAGGGCATTGTCTCGCAATGTGGCGTTGCGAATCTAAGTGAACGCAAGACGGAGTGGCAAGCACGCGCGGCTCGGTCTTCCCAGCCGACCCCCAAGCTGCCGACCCAAGCGTTCTGCGCGCAGTATCCGACCGTCCCAGTCAGGCACACCCTCACTTAAAGCAACTTCAATGCGGATGCCTCCCAGTGAGAACATGTCTGAGGTCCCCAGCTTGCCGTCTTCCGGTGCGATGGGCAGCTCACCCAACATGGCGTACAACAACCTTGGCTTTTAGAGCGCACCCACTTCATGGATGGCTACCATGACTCATCGCTCCCTGTTTTTTCTGCGAATCAAGGTCCCCGCCCTGACTTCCCGGCACCTACAAAGCGACTGTGCGACTGAGCAACTGTGAGCGACTGACTCCTGTCTCAGACTTGGCAGGGCTCTTTGGCCATGCCTGTCTTCCCCAGGATCACCATCAGCTCGCCCGTCTTTACGGAGATGTCCACCTGGCCGAGAAACCCGACCCCGAACCTCCGGACGTGACATCCGGCCTCTTCCAGCAGGACCGTCTTGTCCGGCCAGGCCAACTTGGAGGACTTCAGCTCCAGGGCCGTGCCCGCACTCGCCGCGCCAGGCCGAGGCGCCACCTACCGAGGAAAGCGAGGGTGAAGCAAGGGTTTGGAAGGAATGCCGGTTTCCTCGGGGGAGAGGAGGAAGGCTTCAATGCGATCTTTGGCAACTGCCGCCTCGGGCCAAGAAAGGCACGGCCAGCTGGGTGTCTTCACGGGCCTCCATGAAGAAGCGTGCCATCCTCATTTGACCAGAGCTCCGGTTTCAAGCAAGCCAGGGTTTCACCGAGGCTGCGGGCATTGGCATGGCACCTCGAACGAGTCACAGGTCTCACCAGACACTCACGTGCAAGTAGCAAAGTGCCCAGAGTGCCCAGCCCAGAGGAAAGGAGAGGATGTTGAAGAGGCTCAATGCCGTGAAGGCCGTTGCCTCGGGAGGGGAGAAGTCTGTGCAGCTCTGGAAGGCTGGGCGCCCGACAGCGTCCAAGTTCCTCTTCTGCACCAGCCTTCGGCATTCCCCGAAGCCGCAAAAGCCAAAGCAACTCGGAGCGATGTCGTTTCCGCGATGTCCGCGATGTCCGTAAATGTCCCCCGATGTTTTTTTGTGCGTTCCCGGCGTGCGACACGGTGCATCCGACGGTTCGACATAGGCCATCGGCGTGTAGGAGGCGAAGGTGCCCAGGGCCACCAGCACCGGCGACAGCGAGAACGACAAGAACAGCGCCTCACGCGCTTCCGCGACAGCGCGTCAGAGAAGCCACGCTTAAGCTTGCTTAAGCATTCTGGTGTTGGATTTGCTTAAGCATTCTGTCTTTCTTCTTGGAGCTCTCGGTATCTCTCTCGGCCGCAAGCCACATTCCACAGCTTGTAGCGGAGCTGCAGCGCCAGTTCCTGAGAACACAGCACCGGCACGGCTGTGCATGAACAAGCGCGCGCCTTGTTCCGGAGCTCCTTCACCTTGTCCTCAATTGCCAACTCCCAAGCGTAGAACTTGATGATCTTCACAATCCTTAGCTCTCCGTAGCCGGTGTGGGCATGTGGCAGATGCACGTTCCGAGGCGCTTCAACAGCTCCACCTCCATCTTCAGCCGCTCGTCCTTTGCCTTCATGGCCTCCGCCTGGATCTTCCGGGCCTCCGAGTCGCGCGCGCTTCGCCGCGTTGCGCGTGCGAGCCGAAGCGCGCGTCAGGCGGCTCTGCCGGCCTTGCCCGCGACGGTGCTGGAGAGGATGGTGAACAGAATCATCACCTTGGATAAGCAAACAGGAAACACACAGGAAACACACAGGAAACACGTTGGACGTGTCAACATGACAACATGGCCAAGTTGCAACGACGCCAGCGAACAACGAGAAGCTCACATACTTGAAGAGCATGAAGAAGCAAATCACGATCTTGGGCGCAACATGCTGCAAGGAAACAGCAAGAACTGCGGCCGTGCCTGCAAGGGGCACGACCAAATGAGATTGAAGTATGGCATCAGGAAGGTGAATTTGTCCTAGGTTCTGGCACTGCGCGTTCGGCCCTGTCTTTAGCGGAATGTCTCCCGTCCGTGTCGGCCGAGATGATGTTCGTCATCTGCCTGCGCGGTGCGACTTCGACTCGACTTCGAGGCCGCGGCGCGGGGCACCCCATGCCCCCCGTCGGCAGAGTTGGCCGCTTCTTCGGCCTTGGGAGCAGCGAGAGAGCGAGAGGAGAGAGAACGGGGCGAGAACGGGGCGACGGGACGTGACGAGAACGGGAGAGCGGGACACAAATCTTGGAATTGAAGTCAGCAAGAAACAAATCAGAACGAGGCAAAACAACATGCATTCCCAGCCCACTTGCAGACTGAGCCTCGCGCGTCTTCTTGCAGCAGCGCCTAGTCTGTGGCTCGGGTGGAGCCTCTTCCGGCTGCGGCGTCGCCCAAGGAAGGACGCGCAAGGCCTGGGGTGTGCAAGCAGTCGCCCAAACTCTGTCACACTGTCTCCCATCCCAGCAGTCGCGTCGCCTTGCTGTAGGCCATCAGGATCAGGCCAGTTCGCAGGCGCATGCCAGTCCTGCCCAGGCGCCTTGCGCCTCGCCGCCTCGCGCCCGGCCTGGTCTCCGAGGCGCGGACTGGTAGCCACCCTGGAAGTAGTGCGCCATGAGAAAGGCCTTGAGGGAATTTGGAATACCAGGACGTATACTGCACATACCAAGACATACCAAGACATGCCAAATCCACATGGTCAAGGCGGCCCCGCCTGAGCTCCAGAGGAGAGGACCATGCCAACAGCGTAGGCGTAGCCCATCCACAGCGGCTGACAAATGGACACCGGAACAGAGGCGGCAAAAGGGGACAGCGGGCTCGCAACAGGCACATGAGGGTCTACCTTCTCCTGCCTCGCCAGCTTCCTCACCCGTACCCTTCACGAAGTTAATGATCCTGAAAAGGCGCCCTCTCAGCTTTCTGAACTTTCTCTCAGCTTCGGAGACTGGCCTGTTCAGGAGGAAGGGACCCACGAAGTGAAGCACGTCATTGATGAGCTTCACCCAGGCAGTGCTGAACACCTCTTTCGGCCCAGGTCGCATGTCCCGATACAAGACTCTCGCGTCAGTCCGACCTCTGCGAAGAATCCCCGGGTCATTGCTGACAGCAGGGCCGGCTGCGGCTTGCGCAGCTCCACCTGCCACCCCATTGACACTCGGAAGGAATGCAACATGAGCAACTTGTCGGCAACTTGTCAATGTCAACCTAAATGAAGCGAAGTCTAGCGTTCGCACGCACCACTCGCTCCACTCGCTCCACTCGCTTCGCCTGCCACTGGCGGTCCAGGCGTTCCAGCTGCCTCTGCGCCACGTTCTTCCGCGTGAGCGGGTAGACGTCCGTGGGCTCCAGCTTCCCATTCTCCTTGTCCCGCTCAAAGGCCAGATCCACGATGGGGGTGAACCAGGTGAAGGCCTCACAAAATCTCAAAATCACACAAAAGCTGGGAAAAGCAAATTTGTGGGAACATCAAACGGCAAAGTAAGGAATGAAAATGGGATCCCAAATGCATCAAACTGAACTGAGCCGACGACAAGCCAGCCGAGGATTCCCACCTGCTCCTGAGAATGAAAGCTCGGACTTGGCGTTTTCCAGCCGTAACATGCAGTCCTCTGGTGAGGCTTCTCTCGCGCTGAGGGTTCTTGCCTCAGGGAGGGCTCCCTGATCTCGGACCAATTCAGCACACCGCTTGCGTCTCGCATTCTTTATCTCGCCGAGTGCGGCGCCCAGCGGCCCACCATGGAAATCCCGTTCTCCTGGGTCGCACACGCCATGCGTATCACATCCACGTCGCACACGTCCCGCCTCTGCCAGCAACGGGGGCTCGGCAGTGCTGCCGCTGCGCCCGGAAGGCACCAGGTAAGCCTAGCTGCACCGTTGCACCAGTCCGACTCACTCAAAACGGGGTCGATGCAGTCGATCGGGCTTGCCCGGGGCTGCGGCCGCAGTGGCTGAGAGGCACAGCAAAAGCTCCGCTCCCTTGAAGGCCCAGGCGGCCTATCGAGACCGACCCTTCAGACCCGCCAGTCCCGATTTCTGGTGCCCGGCTGAGATCTTCTGGTCGTAGATGGCCAGCACCTCCCGTACGGACACCGACAGTACCGACAGTACCGACACCGACATCCCCTCACCGCCCGAAGCCTGAGCCACCGTCGCCAGCACCCACCACAACTTCAGGCCCATGCTCTCAGACAGGCTGCGGTGCACCTCCTCTCACAAGTCGAGTCGGAGGGCTTCAGCTTTCCATCCCAACTGACGTATGTGTCCTGCTGGTGGTAAAACCCCACAGCAACGGCCTAAGCTGCGCAGAATTCCACCGAGTTCCGCGAGCCGCCCCAGCTCACCGCGGCAGCGATGCACGCGCCGCCGATACCTTGCGTCTCGCTCACGACCTGGGCAGCTGCGCAGCAATTGTGCGCACAGCAAATGTGTGCACATACTTGCAGCTGCCTGGGTGGTGGTCAATGAGACCACGAACTCCGCAAGGGACACCTGAGTGACTGAGTGAGCCGCGGCTCACGCGCTCCTTTCGGGTGCAAGCTCAGCTCGGGGCCAGGAACAGCAACGCGCAGGACGCGCTGCGCATGCGGTCCACGAGGGTGATTGGCTGCCTGGACCTGAACAGGTCAGGACGGTCAGGACAAAATCGCACCGGACTCGTTCACCCAGGTCCCCAGGTGCGTTCTGTGGGCACCTTGGAAGTTGTCGGATGATGACCAAGCCCACAAGAACCCCGACGATGGCAAGGCCCGCTACGGCGGCCTGACCAAATGCTTTGACCCAAATGCTTTGGCTGCGTTCCGCTCGCCCCATATATCCCCATATCATCCCTGCGCCTGAAGAATGATGTGCACAACGCAATCATTGAAACCTGGCGGAGTCAAAAACACTGAAGCAACAACATGAAACCAGCAAGTCGCGAGATGTCTGGACTTGACAAGCACATATCTCGATAAGCCGGTCTAGCACGCCTTGGCCCGCAAATAGGCCGTCCTCCAAGTTGCAGAGCTCCACAGTGGACATGGCTGGACAGGGCCAGGAAAAACACGAAGCCGAATGGTTGACCTGGAGTTCTGCGTCGAATTGCCTGCCGAAATGGTTTGCAACTTGCCAAGCCAAAGGCTACGGGGAAAGCACGGCAATGCACTGAGGCCAAGAATCAACCATGCAACTCGACGTGTGTTGCTTGCAGACGTCGGAGTACTATTCTCTCAGCAATGGCCCTTGCAAGAAAAGTCTTGGCAAAGCCCATCACCGATTTGCACAAATCCCTTTCAACGCAACTCCCGCGTTCAAGGCATGCACACGCAAGGCGCTTGTGTTTGTCACGCTCCTTGCGTGGTTTGGCCGTTTCTTGACTCCTGCAGACCTGGAAAGCAGACCTGGAAAGCTGCAAAACTGAAACAAACATACGGCTGTGACTGCGTTCCGTGTTTGAGTGAAGGTGCAATGTTCGAATGCTCCAAGCGAGGCCGGTCCTGACTCGGTGCCCCGTTTCGGGCGCGACTGACGGTGGGCGCGGCCCTTTTCATCGAAGGTCGGTCCGCCGCGAGCAGCGCGGCGTCCCGCGCCGAGGAAAACTGCGCGGTCTCGCCCGGGCGGCTTCCGCTTCCCGGCTCCGTGCTTTTCCAAAGACTCGGACTCCTCACGCCTAGCCGAAGAAGACAAACTCGGACCAAAATCTATAGAGACTCAAACATAGAGAGCCTTCGGTTTGAGGATCACCAGCTTCGCTGTCTGCATGCCATTCTTAACGGAGCCCGGGATGGGCTCATTCCTCAAGAGAACTCTCGACCCAAACCAACACGACGTCACGCTGGGCGGATGGCTCAAGCGTCTCGAAGCACTTGGCTTCCGCTATGATGCGCTTCAGGTCATCCTCTGCTTTCGGACTTCGACCACATCGACTTTTGGTGCCACTCGGGCCTCGGTGGTCAGCTGCCCAAAGTCGATGGTGGTCACATACTTCAGCCTGGCAGCTCCACATGCTGAGTGCGACATCTAGGTCCTAGGTCCCAGCGTTCGCTTGTTGCCCCTCACGCACAAAGTCCCGTTTTAGACCGCTCTCCTTCTGAAGACATCAGACCAATACATCCTAGCCCTTTCGCAAGGTGTCTACATGACACTACCAAGATCTTGCATGTCCTCACTCTTGCGGTCTGCCGCCCTTGCGCTTCCAAAAGCAATTGCAAAATCAAGAACAATGCCAGGCGGGCAATGGCTTGATGAAGGCCATAAGTGGAGAGTGTGTTCTCTGAAAAGTCCTCAGCGAGCCAAGTGGACTTGTTTCTTTGGGAAGCGCGCACTGAGGCCGCGGCTGAGTGATGAAAATGCGACCGCTGCTTTTCATAAGTGGAACGACTTAGCAACAAGCTGTCCCTACAAGATCAGCGCAACAAACAATGCTCAGGGAAAGACCTGCTCTTAAGGCTGCCGGCGGGTCTGGCATCACCTAGGCCATTGTGACTTGCGGTGTGTCGGCCATATATTCAGCAGCGGACTGTCAAGGAGCCAGAGAAGTACACGGCATCGAACCGGAGATCCTGACTGGCGCTTGCCAAGGGGCAGACCGGATGCCAGGTTCGGCCTCTGGAACAGGATGGGACTTTGCCTTGTCACTCTCCTGGCCCGCTTGCCAGAGCTTTGCTCCGGACACATCAAAAGCGGCCTCAAAGCACAGGTCCGACAGCTCGTCGTAGATGGACCGCTCGAGGACCCGGCCTAGGAAGAGAGACTGTGGAGACGTGCACGCACGAGCTCGGCTGGGCTTCCAGCAGTAGAACCTCGAATGCTGCTGTGCGCCCGTGTGCGCCAGTGTGCGCCCCACGCGCCCCATGCGCCGCGCCCCACGCGCCCCATGCGCCGCGCCCCAGCGCCCCATGCACCCCATGCGCATGCCGCTGAGAGGCTCCCCCGGCCGGTAGCCCTCGGTGCCGCTCGGCGCTGGGCACCAAAGCTCCGCGGCCTTCAGCACCGCCTCCAACCCTCCCTCCGCCCACTCGCCCACTCGCCCAATGCACGAGCGCTGGCCTCTGCCTTGCGGACGTAGGCTGCCTCGTGTCGTGAAATGGCCCCTGGGCCCCTTGCCCCCTTGCCCCGCCTCATAATCTATCCCCACCACCGAGATGTGGCGGTCCAACAGCGCCGCCTTACAGTCGAAGCAGTCCAAGCAATCGAAGCAGTCGAAGGCATGCCTTGTTCTTCACAAGTGCAGTCGCTGTCCCAATGCCCACCTGCGGCCGCACGGGTAACACACTTCAACTCGGCTGGGGCTGACGTCCAGGATGCGGTCGCCCTTGTTGAGGCGCTGAAGCACTGCCTCAGGCTCCAAATTCTCGGGCACATAGGAAACCTCACAGACTGCCTGGTACCACCGGGCCGTCATCCGCACAATCACGGCGTCGTAGACCTCAGATCTCGCCGACTCACAAGGTTTGACGATGTGCCTTCGCCGAGCGCACATCCGCGGCAAAGAATCGCAGCAGCATCAGCCTGGGCCACGCGGATTGCCGGCGTGCCGGCTTGGTTGCGGCGTCGGCTTTCCGAGAGCAGCACCCCGACGCTGGCAAGAGCAGCGCCAGAAAAAGGGACATGGCTCCGCTCAAGCCGCCAAGTGCTGCGCTTCGCAATTGCCAGAGGTCGCGTGTTTTTTGGCCTGCGCCTTGAGAGCTCGAGCTGGTTCATCAACAAGCGCATTGCCGCTTTCTTTAAGTCCTTGTGTCTGTCTGTGCGTGTAAGTTCTCTGTTTGTGTGTGTGTGCTGCATGGACTTGAACATGGCCGCACACTTGCCATCATTCTGCAGCAGCTCGTGTGTGGGAGCCAAGCGGCACATCTGCCCATGACAACAAAGGCGAGCAGAGGGAACGGCTCGCAAACCAACATGCTTTGTGGGCAATCTGACCGCGGTCAGGTCTGTTTGCGAAGGCATTGGCTTGAAAGTCCAAATGATCTTGCAGCCATGTTCTGAATGGGCAAAATAAATCAAGAGGGGCTGGAACTTTGGCAGCGCCGCCAAAAACCCCTGGCCATGATGGAAACCGCAAGGCTCCCTTCGGTGCCCAGCCGATTCCAAATGGCTCAGAAAAGAAACCCGAGGCTTGGCCTGGAGTCTTGGCTCGACCTTTTCTTTAAAAGTTCACACAACGTCCGGGTCCCCACCGTCGGGCTGCGGAAGTAATCCTGGGCGTTGCTTCGGCTTCATGGCGCATGGCACATGGCACTCCAACGTCGCGGCAAGCGGCGACCGCTTCTCTCTCCACCCTCTCTCGCTTTCGCTCTCTCTCTCTCTCTCTCTCTCGTTTTTGTCAAACTACATGCTTCACTTCCTGCATTTGTGTTGCATGTATGTTCACTACCGCAGGCCTTGAGCTTACTACTCCGCATGAGTGAAAAGGTTGGCAGCTGCAGACTACATTGGTTGACTGTTTGTTTGAACACTACAGCACTTGCACTTGTAAGCAAAAGTACCAACTAAATTTAACGTGGTAGCGGAGCAGAGATCCTAAACATAGGGGAGCTCCAGTAAGCAGTAAGTACTACAACCACAGCAACAGCAGTCACATGCCAAACTACTACGACATGTCAGGAGAAGCAGCATCAGCCTCAGCACAACAAACTACAGGAGCAGAGAACGGGCCAACAGCAGACACAGTAGGAGCCACAACTACGGGAGCAGGAACAGAACAAGACAACGACGTTCGGAGACTACATAGATACAAACTGCCACCACCCTTCTTCACTGGTGACTACTCCCAGTATGAAGAATGGCTGTTCAAGCTACAAGCATACCTCGGCCTCATAGACCGAGACTTCGACCTGGTGCTACAACTAGCACAAGTGGCTACACGACAGATTGAGGACACAGACATCAGAACACACATACTCGACCCTACACAAGCAAGCAAAGCAGTAGACCTCTCCAGAGATCTACACTACATCCTCATCAACATCTGTCAGGGAGCAGCAGCTACAGTAGTAAGGCAAAACCGCTACAACGCAAACGGATGTGAAACACTACGACTGACACACAACAGGTTCAGCCTACCAGTAGGAACAAGAAGCGTTGGCTACCTTACCAAACTACTGGAACCTACATTCAACGAAGCGCAGTTTGAAGAACAATTTCTACAATGGGAATACGACATCAACCGCTGCGAGAAAGACAATGAGCACTACCAGATGGAATCAAAATAGTAATACTACTCAACAAAACCAAAGGAGCACTGCAGCAACACCTCCAACTGCGAGCTGGACAGATCACGAACTACATCGAGATCAGAGCACTCATCTTGGACTACTACAAGACGATTTCAGCCTCACTAGATCTACTTCAGCAGTAGGAACAAACTACAATGAAGGAGCTGCACCAATGGATGTTGACAACATATGGAGGAAAGGAAGAAACTACAAAGGCAAAGGAAAAGGAAAAGGCAACTACAAAGGAAGCAAAAGCAAAGGCAAATATCAAATATAGGAGTAATGGACACTACAAAGGATTCGACAAAGGCAGCAAAGGAAACTACAACAGAGGAGGATACAACAAGAGCAAAGGAAAAGGCTACTCAGGATCCAAAGGATATGGATCAAGCAAAGGCTACAAAGGCCAAGGAAACTACAGCAAATCAAAAGGAAAAGGAAACAACAACTACACAACATGCCATCGATGTGGCAAGCCTGGCCACTGGGCACAAGACTGCAGAGTGCCAGTATGGCACATAGGAGAAGGAGAAGAACTACATCCACTAGAACAAGAACAAGCAGATCATGACAACAATGAAGAACTACCTCAGGATGTGAACGACACTTGGGACTGGTACTACGAAGGAGAAGAAGGACAACACGAGGTGAACTACATGGAGGAGAACTGGAACGACTACGACTATGACAACAGCTGGGATTGGAATGACAACAGCTATGAGGACACAGCAAAGTACATTGGAGGCATCAACGAGTCACACCTTACCATTGGACACATCAGACAAGCAAACTCACGACTACACAAGCACAAATCCAAATCACTACTTGGCAAGAGAACAACACACACAACATCATGGAACGACCACAGCAAGAGCTTTCAACAATTCCTACAAGAAGACACCACACAGCTACACTTCGACATAGCAGCAGCAAGACAACAACAAAGGAACAAGAAGATTGAGGACACTATCACACACTACATCATGTACTCCAACTTCAAGTCATACCACCACCTGTTGATCGACTCAGGAGCATCTACACATGTTTGCCCGAAGGACTACGCACCAGACCTACCGCTACGACCTTGTGGAGAATCACAACTCTACACGGTTACAAACAAGAAGATTCCTGTCTACGGCATCAAGTACGTTCCCTACAAGCAGGACAACTTCAGGATCATGATACCCTACTACGTTTGTGATGTGAAGTATCCAATCCTCAGTGCATCAAGACTACTTGATAGAGGATATGGACTTGACTTCACTCCACGACACTGCACCATCACACATGGACAACAACAAGCACACCTCATAAGCACTCAGGACTTTTCTACCTACGAGCAGAGAAGATCGACATCCCTACAGGATTCGACATCTACCCAATGACTACAGACAATGGAAAATCCATTGCTGTGATTCAACCTACAGAGAAAGCAGTCAACAACAAGAACAAATTGCACCACTCACCCACACAGACCAAGGACTACGACAGATCCTTGGTGGAAACACTGACTACTGGAAACTTGATGGTGACTACGCCATCAGAGTACACAAACGACCACGCAAAGCATTGTTCACACCACACAACAGCGGTTGCCCAATACCTGAAGGAATTGGCGACTAACCATCATCAGCAGACAAGGGCAAGAGCAAGAACAACTACAAGAGAACCCAACACAACTTTCCAAGCAAGAACTACAACGAAGACTAGAAGGTGACAACTGGACTGGAGAAACCAGATTCGGAAGAAAGATAATACCTACACGCAGAGCAACATCAAAGACCACACCAACAAGACAGAGCTCACAACCACAACGGCTAATGGACACACCACCAACCAGATCAAAGATCCAACTACGAGCACCACAAAAGATATGGAGACCTAAAGCAGCACCTTCTACAAATCTTGACACCACACAACCAAAGGAGACAATCCACAGACCACTCACAGCACAGGAGGACAACCAAGACTACTGGGAAAGACAAGGTGAATACTGGATAAGACACCACACAACACTTAGAACAACTCTATTCACTCCAACAGATGGACCAGGACATCCACCAATCAGCACACTTGAACCTCACAGAACTACAATCACTCACAACAACTTTGGAGAAGTTTCACAACGCAAAGATGACTGGACAGTCATGGGCAACGCAGCACTACCATTTCAATGGAAAGGAACAACAAGGTTCACCGTGAAGAAAGACTACGAGTACATCCAGGAGAACCACGATGAGGAACAACAACACGAGCATCATGAAGCACACAGAGCAAGAGGACTACGACAACCACAGCAGCCCACTCCACAACAAATAGCAGAACACAATCTTACACACCTACCATACAGAAACTGGTGTCCAATTTGCGTTCAAGGCAAAGGACGCCAAGACAACTACAAGAAACAACAATCACGACAACCCGTCATTCAAGTAGACTTCGCCTACATCAAATCACAACAAGACCCAAAGACCATACCAGTACTGACAGCAGTTGATGTTACTACACAACTGTGTGTGGCAGTAATGGTCCCGGACAAACCATCAATGATGGACTACATGATCAACAACCTACAAGCATTCATCTTTGAGTGCGGAAGAACACAAGGCATACTACAAAGCGACAACGAAGACACACTCAACGCACTTCTAAAAGCTACAGCAGCAAAAGTCGGCTCAATGACTGTACGACACTCACCGTCTTACAGCAGCAACAGTCAAGGAAGCGTTGAGCGACTACATAGAACACTCCTCGGACAAATCCGCGTTGTCAAAGCTCAGGTTGAAAGCAACTACAGCATGACGATGTCCACAAAGCACTGTCTACTACTTTGGATAGTACGACATGCAGCATGGACGGTAAATCGCTACGTCATCCACTCAGACGGCTACACAAGCTTTGAACGCCGCTGGGGAAGAAACTACGAGCGAGCAATCTGCGAATTTGGCGAGACACTACTTTACCTTCCACCACAACACAAGAAATTCCCAAAAGCAGACCTACGGATGCAGATATGCATCTGGCTCGGAAAAGTTTCCGAAACCGGAGAAAACTACGTCGCAACGGAATCAGGCGTACAAAAGGTACGAACAGTGACTTCAAATACGACCTCGCACTGCTGAACAAAGTTTCCGGCACACCATGCGCACCACGACGGAACACCTACAACCCATCGTTCCAACACTGTTGGATACGCAACTACAACCGTCAGAGAAAAGAAGGCCCACGCAAGATTTCGGACAACAGACGAACGCTACGGACGACATCGTTGCGGAACCCGCGACAAAACAACAACGCACTACACCACCTCCACGACTTCCGCAAGTTCACAACCACTACCGGATAGTCCTATGGCTACTTCACCAACCGGACGACAACATCCACCACTACCAGCACCACCTCGACAAACACTACGACGTTTAACTCCGGAAGAAGTAATTCAACCAACTAAAGCACAGAAGACCTCAAAGGACACTACAATCAGATCAACGGAGCAAGCAACCAAAGAACCACCACCACTACGACAGAAAATCAACGCCGTGACACTTCCCAACGGAAAATCCATCCCTCCCTACACAAACGACGACACCTCAGAAGACCAACCCATAATCTTCGACAACGAAGGTTACGACGAAACACAACTACTGGGCCGAATGAAACACGAGTCAAACCAAATGAAGCTACATGACGTCCACGACGAAGTAGATGCGTCTACCGTCGACGACAACGTCATCAGAGAAGCGACACCTACAAGATGGGTACATAGAAAGAAAGGACCAGGAGTACGAAGCCGAATCGTCGCAAAAGGCTACACAGAGAAGATCGAGGACGAAGACCCCGTCTACGCCTCTACACCAATGTTCACGACACTCCGGACACTTCTCGCACTACAAATGTCACGACCAAACTGGATCGCGCGACTAGGTGACGTCTCTACAGCATTTCTACACGCACCCATCGCAAAAGACCACGACGGTAAACAACGTGACGTCTACCTTTGGCCACCTAAAGCACTTTGTCCACAACAGGACAAAATCTGGCGACTAAAGAAAGCCATGTGTGGACTACGCAGTTCACCAAAAGCATGGCAGGACTACCTGGCTGAAGTGTTACAAAAGCTCAGCTTTGTAAGACTAAAGTCAGAACCTAACGTCTACACCAACGCGACCCGCGACTGCTACATCATGGTGGTCTACTAGTACTTGGAGACAAGACTGCGGTCGACTCCACTTTCGAGGCCGTCCAGAAGCAGGTCCTACTCAAGCACATCGGCTACCTCGAACCTGGCAAACCACAACAATTTCTTGGAAGAAACATCGACCACTTTGGCAACTACTGCAATCTTGGACTAAAGGACTCCTACATCGACAACATGATCGAGGAGTCTGGAATGAACAACTGCAACTCAGTGAACACTCCAGGAATTGCACACTACAAACCAACAATAGAAGATGAAGCACTACTTGACCACGAACAACACAAAAGGTACAGAAGGATTGTTGGCAAACTTCAATGGTTAGCATACACACGACCAGACATTGCATACTCCACAAAAGAACTAGCACGAGACCTCACAGCACCTACAGAACTTTCACAAAAGAGAGTCAAACATCTACTACGCTACTTGCACGGCACCAAGCACTACAAATTCACCATAGAACCAACAACAACACTCAGAGCAAACACCAACAACATCCTGGATCTCGACGTTCATGTCGATGCCGACTGGGCAGGATGCCCTACTACCAGAAAATCAACTTCAGGTTTCAACATCATCTTTTTAGGAGCATCCACACAGACTCCACAGCAGGCAAGAGCATTGCTACACGACAAGGCACTAGCAAACGAGCAAAACACATCGACCTCAAATTTCTCTATATATAAGACCTCATCAAGCACGACATCATTAGAATCCTTAAGATCAACACACTTCACAACAACGCAGATTTGTTTACCAAATCCATCAGCAAAGAAACACTACACAGGCTCATCCAGAGCATTGGGATACGCATTTAGCACTACGAACGACCAGCACAGCAGTTTCACAACAACAACAACAACAACAACAACAACAACAACAACAACAACAACAACAACAACAACAACAACAACAACAACAACAACAACAACAACAACAACAACAACAACGACTTTGGACATTTCTTGTGTGTAAGTAGCTACATGTAACACGACACCTTTTGTAAGTAAGTAACAGTAACTACATGTATTTTTCACTTGCACTTTGGCGGCTGAGTCAACACTACAGTTGTTTGTTTTACATTTCTGCATGCGCCGCCTGCCTGATAGCAACTACTTAGGCTCATTTTGTTTTTGCCCCGTTTCACTACGTTTTGCATTCCACTGCAGCCATGGCCGCTCCATCTACTGCAGATGCTACGATGGGAGACGGCACTACGCCCGACAGGGCAACTACACCTGAGGTGGCGTCCTCCAGTGACCACGAAACTCCACCACCTCAAACCTACAACGACTCCAACTACCACTTCAACCATTCTACACCTGGCAACACGGTCTACTACAACCCGACCACAGTGATGGACCAACTACACATCACTGAGCACCAGACAACAACTACACCACCATTGCCCGACAACACACCCTACACTCAGTTTTTCACTGCACTCACACTTGAAGAGTATCAACTACTCTCACAACAACAAGCAACTCCACTGGCACAACTGGACTACACGCGACCATTCGCTGCGTCCCTGGAGACCTTCGGATGCCCCGCTACAACTCTACACTGCTCAGCGTTTCACTACCTGAAGCAGCCAACGTCCACTACTACCACACGACTTCACTCCACACTACAACCAGCGACAACACCAACTACATCATCATCCAACTCCAGATTGAACAACCACTACTCCTGAGGTACCTCACTTCAGGACAATTTCTACACTTCACAAGGGACTACATCTCCTACATGATGTCCATACAACAGAACTACTACCTCCCGACTACACCAATTCCACAGACCATCTACAAGGTGAACTACAACATGACCACCTTCACTGACAACTACAGCCTCAGGAACAACTACCTTCGGAGCTACCACATGCCCCTACTACTACCTGAACTACTCCACTACCTTTACAACAGAGACCAACTGCACGACTTCCAGCACAAGGCAATTACTTCCATCCTCTGCAAGAGTATACAGTACTACGGATTCACACTACTCACCATGACAAACCTCACTCAACATCACAAAGCACTACTAAACCGCTTTCTCAGGGAGTACGACCAACGCATGTCGTGCCCTGAGATAGACGACGAGCGACTACGGGGAGCTCCAAACTACATGACAACATTTTTCACCATACATTACTAGGCGACCTTGGACAACAGACTCCAGATGGTCCAAGACTATCGCGCCCAAAAATGGGGACTACATCTTTGAGCTCATGCTCCACTACAACGAGTGCCTGCCTCACAACTTCCATCCAGCGCCCTACATCGAGCTGGAACCTGAACAGCGTGAACTACCGAGCGCAGGTCAATACTTTTGCCAATACAGTAGAATTGATGAACAACAATGGTTTTCATCACTACTGTCAATCCATGTTTTGCACTTCAGTTGAAAAGGTACTACAAAGACCTTTTAACTGAGGGGCCGTGTCAAACTACATGCTTCACTTCCTGCATTTGTGTTGCATGTATGTTCACTACCGCAGGCCTTGAGCTTACTACTCCGCATGAGTGAAAAGGTTGGCAGCTGCAGACTACATTGGTTGACTGTTTGTTTGAACACTACAGCACTTGCACTTGTAAGCAAAAGTACCAACTACATTTAACGGTTTTCGCTCCTTCCTTCCCGCTTTGCTTACTACATCTATCTCTTTCGATTGCTCGCTTTCCGTCCCGGCCTTCGCCCACGCACCACCGGATCTGCTGCACCAGGCACTGGTCCGCTCGGAAGGCGTCGTAGGCCTCGCCCACGGCTTCGCGCATGGCCCGAGCGCCCGCGGAGCTGTCGGCCATGGAGTCGATGCCGTGGCCCTGAATCCAAAGCTCCAAACTGTCACGACCTTTTCGGCCCTTTTCGGCCCTGTTCGGCCCGTCCCATCACACACACACACACACACACCAAAATCTGCATCCCGGCCTCTGCCGTGAGGGCCGCGCAGAAGGACCAACTCTTGAAGCGGATCGGATCTGCGATGATGGTGTCACGCCATTTCACCTCTCACAGCTCACATCTCCCTGAAACCCTCGAACCCCGGTTTGAGCGCCAGGCGAAGTCCATGATCTGCAGATTCTGATACCTCCCCAAAGCGCATTTCGAAGTGGACAAACCCGAAAGTCCAAGAAGCGTGCCCGAAGTCTCGGAACACCTTGACCAACTCCGCAATGGTGATGGCATTGTGGGGCCTGCAAGAAGACAATTGCAGAGCACGGAAACGTGGAAACCCGGGTGCCGCACACAGCCGGGTGGAAGACACTGCCACTGACACCTGGGCTGAAAGGTGACCTGGACACCAAGCCCCCTCAGACTCCGATGCCTTCCTCCCGCAGAGCGACGTGGACGATCGCCTGAGCTGCTCGTTACATCAACCTCGACCGTGCTCCGTGGCTCGCCTTGGCCACCCAATCCACCGGCGTCAAGTTGAACTTGTCTCCCTCCATGGCTGGCAAGCGCCGCAGTTGGAGCACCTTTGCAAGCTCATCTGACACCGTCGCGTTTGATGTGGTTGCATTGACAACGGTATTTTTCCCCGGAGCTTCAGTGAGACGTAGCGTTGCACGGCGGGACTTGCAGACGCTCTCAGCCCGCCAGGCTCTGCAAGCCCCGCTGGAAGCTGCCACCGTCCACCTGCTGCACTGCCCGCAACTCCGCCTCGGTGCCCCGGACGACAGCCAATCTCTTAGAGACTCTTTGTCTTCTCTTTGTCTTTCTCTCTGCGATCGGCTTCCCTCGGCTTCCCTTCCCCGCCTTCACGTCATCAGAGATGACGCCCCGGCGGGACACGCGGTTGAGGCCGCTGGGCAGTGTGCCGACTCCCAGCTTGTGGGAGAGAGCCTCAAACAACGACTCGGAGACTCGGAGAGTCCGAGCCCGGAGCTTCCCCTCGGAGCTTCCCTAGCCCCTTCGAGCCCGGCGGCCATGGTGAAGTGCCAATCGCTTCGCGAGAGGATGTCGAAGTCCGGGCCGGACCACTCGGACTCCATCTTCATAAGCACCACGCCCACCTCCGGGGCCTGCTTTTTGCAGTCCTTAAGGCCGCACTATAAAGAGGAATGCGAGAGATGAGAGATATGACATGATACCACATAACGTGGGTGGTGGCCTCACCTGCCTGTCTACCGGTCTACCGACCCATCAAGTCGAGTGTCCCCCAAGAAAATGGCGTGATGGAAGGTGTGCAGGCACTTTCGGGGCTCGTGGCAGAAGATGCCGGTCTGCGGCTCCTGTCGCGACCCTAAACAAAATGCTCGCCGACGGCACAGGGGCACAGGCCTTGGTAGGCCCGTAGGACCACTCCGTGCCACACACCTGGCCCAGTCCATGTTGCCGAGACTGAGATGCAAAGGGCCAAGCCTCGATGCCAAGGTGGAAGACTCCACCCTGACCCAGAAAGCTGCGGGTGGCTGGCTGGAGCTTGCTGATCACCTCTCAGGCCAATGTGCGTTAGACTAAAAAAAGAAGAAGAATGGTTCAAGCCAAGCACCTCACTTGCCCGGCAAACGACGAAGGCAGAGCAGTGCCCCAACATGAGCGTGTTGTACGAAGCCAACATCTCAGAGTCTCAGAGTCTCAGAAACCCCTGCCTCGGGGTTCCCTATATGGTAGACGTTGAGAACCACAGCTGCCTGTGCATCCCGAACCATGCGCCGGATGTCAGCGTCTGTGGGCTCTGGTCTGCCTCGGCGAGTGGGGATTGTTCCACTCGAGGCTTGGCAAATGGCCAATATGGGCAACGGAGCTCCATGCAACGAGCGACAGAAGGCGAGCCAGCTTCGCTGCTGCAGCTGAGGACCCAAGGACCACGATTGCGCACTGGCTTGTCCAGTGCAGCAACGCGACACGCTGTCACCTCGCCGGCCCGACCCTCAAATGCCTCAATTTGATGTCAATGTTTCATACAACCCTCATTCACGGATTAGCAAACAGTGCTGACTCTGCCTTCCAGCTCATCGACCGGTGGCCGCTCATCGCCATCTGCATCCAGGAACTTGGCTGCTTTCGCATGCATCGCCGGCTGCGCGGCCTTCCCATTCGGGCCTCTGAGGCGAGCAAAACGTGCACCAAGCTGCAGAAACCGTTCTGAGCGCAGCGGAACTCCGAGGCCATCTCCCTGCCTGCACTCTCCCTTGGCTTGGAGTCGGCCGAGGGCGCCCGGTGCGGGGCATCTGGCCCATCTGGGTTCATCAGCGCGCTCCTTGCCTCTGCGAAAGCTCATTCGAAGACCCCCAAACCCCTTCACTCCAGTGACTCCAGTGAGTGAGTCCCTGGGGCGCAGGCCCACTCCATCTGCTGGAAGGAAGGCGCAGTCTGCAGGACGCGACCATCAATAGGCTGAGCTGGCCCGGGCTGCGGATGCACAAGCTGCCCCTGCTGCCCGTGCCACTGCCCTGGATGCTGCCCCAGCCCAGGCAACGGCATGAAGTGCCCGTGCTCCGACCTCCGCAAGCAAAGGCCATCCGCAAAGCCATTGACGCACCATTGCACCGCAAGCAATTCTGTGCGTCTCCTGCAGTCAAGCTGCACGGGAGCACACGTGCTCGGAAGACCAAGAGCTCCATAGCTGCCATAGCTGCCAGCCCAAGGGTCCTAGCCGAACGACCATCGTGGCATCGTGGCCCAAGCGGACTTTCAGACAAGCCGCTGGATGCCCGTGCATGCAGCGCAAGTCAGGCCGGCAGGCCGGCAGGCCGGCAGGCCGGCAGCCCGGCCCACCTTACCTCAGTTGCCCCGAAGGGCCTCGCTCAAACGAGTCACGGCCTTTCGCTACCTGACCTCCTGACAGCTAATTGGGCAGCCGACACAAAAGAAAGCGAGCTCACCCGTCGCGGCATTGCGGCAGTTGGTTTATTGATGGCTGATTCCTAACTGGTGCCTTCTGTTCACCTTCCCCAACCAAAACGTCTGACACGTGTGACATGTGTGTGTGTGTGTGTGTCTGTGTGTGCGTGTGGCTGATCTGTTTGTTGTATGCCCGCAAAGATTATGGATTGGAAGCTATATTGCCAATGACCTGTTGCTCTGCACATCCCTGTGTTGCAGTTGCCATCTTGTGCCTTCATAGCGACATTGGCTCGGTTGTGCTTTAGGGCTGTGAGCCAGGACAAGTTGAAAGGGACGAAAGCTGCCATTGCCGCAACTGAACTGGGTCTGTCACATCCGAGAGGAAGTGGAAGAAGACGTCTTGCGCCGATGCCCCAGTTTTGGAGTGACCGCCTCAAGCAATCGTGCCGCACTCCAGTGCGTGCGCATGGTGTCAGTCACACACGCTGCACGGTGTCCATTACACTCAAACATCTCTTAGTTCGGTGCCAATAAGACCAGGCCGGTGAACAAAGGCTGGCAGCCCCTGCCGAGCCGCCTGAATGAAAGGCGCAGACGCCTCGATGCCAACAAGACCTGCCTCGAACACCATCATTTCTGCCAACCATTTGCTTTGAGGATAACCATTGGCCTGGATGTCACAAGCAGCCGCAGTGTCAGATCGCCAGATCGGTCCTGGTCCCCTGTGCCGTACAAAGGCATGCTGCGGATGTCGCCCAGCGGCGCGCTTTCTCGGACTGCTCCTTGCCGGTCCTGCGCGAAGCTGGGAAGCTGCGAGCGACGTAACAATTCGAGCGAAGCCGCGCGCTCCAGCATATCTGGCCTGTATGGGGCATTTGGATGAATTTGGTGTGGCCAAACACCGACGGACCGACTTAGGCAGCCGCGTCAGCACGCCCATGGTGGAAATATGATGAAAGGGCTTCGGCCGCACCATGGAGCAAAACTCCAGCAAATGCGCAGTCGAATCCACGTTGTCCTGAGTCCGGTCTCCCTCACCCGTCTGACCCTTCTCACCCTTCTCACCCTTCTCACCCTCTCACTTCTCACCCGCCTTGCGCATCATCTCGAAGGGCTCCGTGAGGTTCACTTTGGCGGCGGAGTGGAAGACGTGAGTCACGCGGTTCGCCAGGCGCTGCACCTCCACGAAGGATCGCCCGAAGTTCCGCTGCGACAGGTCCCCGACCACCGCCTCCGAAGACCCGCAAGGGGCCCCAAGGGGCCGCAAGGGGCCGCAAGGGGAGGGTTTTCCGAAGGCCCCACGCAAAACACTTCAAGTCTGAGCGCCTCGACCTGGTCCAGCGACGCCACTCCAGCCTTGCGAAGCGCCTGAGCAGCCAGGTGATTTGGTGTTGTTTGATATTTTTCTTGATACTTTCCTGGGCTCTGGCCTCCTCCACCCGGCGATGGGCGCTCGTGCTGTCAGCCGCGCGGACCAAGCAGAAGACACGGCTGCACAGGCCAGTCTCTAGCAGCGCGGCAACCACGTGCCTGCAAACCACACGAACTGAAAGGCAAACATGCAAAACATGCTCAGCTCCTGCCAAGGAAGCCGCAGGCACCAGTCACCAAGGGTGCCAGTTCCATGCTGGCCGACGAGGCGTTGACCTGCGTAGCTTGAAACCAATAGCAGCTGAGTTCCTGTCTCCCGTAGTGTCTTGCATCTATATACCATCATTCTACCCTGCGCTTTTCGCAAGTACTGCAAAGGGCAGCGTACTTCCATGGCCTGCCTTCATTCGTCCAATGGCTCGGCTGACGTACGCAGGCAAAACGATTGGCGGGCGCCTGAGTCGCTCAAGGCGCTGTGGCAACCTGAATCCGAGAAATGCAATTTGATCCCCAGGTCTCAACTACAAGCACACCGGCGAGGGCCGCACTCGCATGCAACCAAACCAGTCTCTCAAAGTGTAACCAAAGACCTGGTGTGCCAGAACAGCGCATGGAACTTGCGTCTTGCCAGCGCCTCACAAAGGCACCAAGAGAAGATGTTCGAGCTTGCAAGGGGCATCCATCGCAGAAGACACACGGGGCACACTTCGAGATCGCAAGCTTCAGCGATAAGTGTGTGTGTGTACCCACGGCGTTTCTTCAGACTTTCCGGGCCCCCCACAACTCCCGCGGGATTGGCCGCGCGCTGGGCCACACCAAGTTCTCGCCTCTGGACCACACGAAGGCCTCGCGCCGAGTGCGACGCGAGCAGAAACCTCTGCCACGTCGCCTGGGGCGGCAGGCCGACAGCCAGCGTCTGCGCTGGCAGCCGGGCAGAGGGACCCACCTGAGCCAATGCAGGCAATGCGGGCTCGCCATGCTGCTCGCTCTACGCCTTTTGGGCCCCCCGCGGCCGAAAGTGGCGCCAGCACGCTGAAGCTGCCCGTCTCCGCAGCCACCACTGCAGCTGCATGGGATACCTAGTGCAAAGATCCTTTGAAACCTTTTGGCAACATAGAACAAGCACAAATGCCAGTGCTGCCGTGCGGATACCGCATAAAGCGCTAGGCAGCCAGCAGTGCTGCCCACCCCAACGGCGACTGGGCTGCTGCTGGTGCAGAACCTCCGCTAGCCGCCGGCAACACGTGCGCGGGACTCCGAAGCCAATGGGCTATCAGTTAGACCAGACCTTGCCCGTCTTTTTTCTATAAAAAATCCTAGGACCCCCCCCACACTTTTAGCAACATTTTAAAGCAGCGCCTCAAACAGCACATTTTCAAAAATCAACATTTCAAAGCAGGTAATTTCCTAGTAAGTTCATCCATATTTTAAAATACAATTTTTAAAAAAATATTGCTTGTAAAATGTTAAAAGAATACATGTTTTTTTAAAATATATATATATATATATAATTTTACAAAAATTTGAGAGTTAAAAAAATGCAAAATGTATAAAAAAATATGTTTTACAAAAAAAATGCAAATTTAAAAGAAAATATATACATTTTCAAAAAAATATTATGTTTTTTTCAAAAATATAATTTTACAAAATATAATTTTACAAAATTTTCAAAAAATATTATTCCAAAAATTATGATAAATTATTGTACAATAAATTTTATCACAAATTTTGTAGAAATATTATGGGCAAGGTTAGGTAGATAGAATTTTATAACTTAAGTTCAGGATAATAATTTAATTGATGTCAATTAAATTGTGTATATATCTTACCTCTTTCATACATCATTTTAAAAATAATATTAATATCTCTCACTGTGTTTTCAACATTAAACTTTTTACTTTCAATATATGATTTAATGTCTTCTTTTACATCAAACCCTTCCCTACTATGATAAGTAAACATCCCTAATATGCGGTCAATCATTTCATATTTTTCTTACTGATTTTAAGAAATGCTCTAACATGACTATAAGGTGGGATATTGTAAACAGCAAGAAATATTAAGATGTCATCTTCAACATTTCTTTCATCTAGCTTTTTAATCTCCAAAAAATGTTCTATTGTAGTTTGATATCGTCTCCATCTTCTACAAGTTCTACATACATCTTCTTCGCCCAACGCATAATCAATAATATTATTCACTATTCCATTGTGTAAATTCAATTTATACAATTCCATATTTTCTTTTTTTAAGTGGCAACAATCATAGCATTTTTTATTGATATAACTATTGATTTTGGTTTTCATCATCTCACTATATAATATATAGAGGTAATATTTCTTTAAATACGTTTTACAAGAAATATGTTTATAATAAAATGTTTAAATATGTGTTTTAGTTTTTTGCCGAAAAATTTATATACATATATATATATATATTGTTTTTACTAGAAATGTAGTATTAAATTCACATTATATTTAATTTTTTATCATTTACAACTACAATTACATTACACTCGCCAAGATTTCACTGATCAACTCACTCGGGACTTTATAAAGTTCTTCCTGTTTGTGGATTACATAATTATCACCCCATTCCGCCTTGGTTTTTGATGGCATCCGTTGCGCAGTTTCAATATGTTCATTATTCCTGATGTTACCACAATCCTTTTTACACAAATCTCTAGGTGTCCAATTCGTAATATTCGTCCATAACCGCGTGCGCCTCCTGTATTTAAAACCATACTTACAATAATCAATGTCAAAATAGTCAAGTTCATTCATAAACTCCTGATTTTTTAATAATCCAGTTTGTGGCTTTTCAATTACAATAATCTCAATAGTTTTTAAGACAATACTATTTGCAAATTCAATATTCCTAATTCCTGTTGTTTTTGCTCTGCTGTATTCGGTGCACGGGGGACTACTCCAAATAAAATCAAAATGGTTTCTGTCAAATTGTTTATAATCCCATTCCAAAATATCACAATTAATATCAGCATTTTTCAAGTCTAATGATATTACATTAAATCCAAGCGACTTTGCTATGGCTCCTACACTTCCAGTGCCACTAAATAATTCTAATAAGTTCATATTAATAGAATTATTTATATTTTAATTTTCAACAATTGCATATTTACCATCATCACCCTTAATTAGTTTATAATATTCTAATGCTTGTTCTTTTGGACTGTTGATTTGTCCCTTATTTAACATATCACCATATTTTTTACGCTTCGTGTCATAGTCACCGCTGGGTCTGCCTATCCCTTTCTTTTCAAAGATTTTATCAATATGTTCCTTCTCTTCATTGCTATTGTTTGGTTCGTTTGCCTTTGCATCAAGTTTCTGGTCAATAGTTTTCATCATCTCATACAACAGTTTAACATTTTTGCTAACCATCATTATCTTCTTTGATAGTTCAGCAATAGCATCATTCTCAACTTCAGACATTTCTATATATATTTATTTATATAATTAGTTATTTAAAGTAATATTTATTTATAAAATTGATTTACTGTAAAATCTACTAATTTACCCCCATTTCGTATTATAGTTATGTTCCCAAGTGTCCTCGCATGAGTTTCCGTTGGTTTCTTTGTTTTCATTGTGTGAATTATGTTTATCAACCTTCCACATTTACACGGTAGGCACTTAATATTAATCCCATCTTTATCCACATTGATTTCATTAGTTTGATTGCCTTGACCCGTTTGTTCCACATACTGATAGTCGCTATAATCGTAACTGTCCATTGCTGTTAGTCTGTCTTCAATCGTTTTAATATTGTCATCCATTGCTTTACTAATTTCTTTCTGTTCTTCTTGCTGTGCTTCAATTAGTATATTCAATTGTTCTTGTTTTCATTTTTGCTCTTCTAATGTCTTTTCTATTCTTTCTTGTCCTTCTTTCTGGTCTTGCATTAATTTAACTATTTTATTTTCCTCTTGTAGTTGGTCATTCATGTTGCTTTTGACCATTTATATTGATATTTACATTTTTATTTTTGATATATTGTATTCCTAGTATTAATTCTAATGTATAATAACAGCATTTCTTAATTTTATTATCAGTTATTATTACTTGTTCTATATTATCTACTTCATTTATTATATCAATACAGTCTGAATAACTTTTATTCATATAAATAATAAGATGAACTAATTACTAAAATAATTATTTGAACTTATTATTTCATGCATGGTAGAATATTGGTGGGGCACAGCACTTGGGGTTTTCATTGCACACGCGAGCGAGACACAAAACTAATTATCTTCAATGCTTATTGATTGAAGCAATGGAAAACCTTTTCCATTATGTTATTCACCGCCACTCATAACATAATGATGTTCCATTTGATATTAAATATAATTTTCTATATTTCTTTAATATCAACTATGACAGATGTCCCAACAATAAAACCAATAAACATAACTAAATATGAATTTAAACAATCCAAATATGAGCACGTGCCAAAGTTACCATTTAGAAGTATTATAGTTGCTTCATCGACGGGATGCAAAATAGTTTTAGTCCAGAACCTTATCTTGAATGCTTATAGAAATTCATTTGCAAGAATATTTATATTTTCCCCCAGCGTTCATAATGACCCAACTTTTACAGAAGTAAAAAAAAAACATCAGAGATGAATTGCACGTGGATGATGAAAAAGAACATATATATTTTGATAATTATAATCCAAGTGATTTAGAAAATGTAATTGAAAGACAGAAGAAAATAATTAAATATATGAAGTCTAAAAAGATAAAGAAACTACATTCAATATTAATCGTTATAGATGACCACGCAGACGATCCTAAATTTGTTAGATATAGTAAATTATTACACGGGCTTTTTACAAGAGGTAGGCACGATGCAGTAAGTGTGACTTGTTCAACACAAAAATACAATGTTTTAGCGCCTATCATTCGTTTAAATGCCAGTTCAATATATATTTTTAGGTTGAAAAATGCCAGTGAATTAATGAGTTTTATTGAAGAAAATAGCGCCATTGTGGATAAACAGCAATTATTAAATATGTATCATCAAGCCGATAATGACGCACCTTATAGTTTCTTCTACGTGAATATGAATGCTAAAGACATTAACAAAATGTGTCATATCAGATTTGAGCAGGCATTGCAAATTACAAATGATGAATAAGGATATTCTAAATAAAGATATTCTAATTTAATATAATATATTAATATGGTTATAAAACAATGTATATGCGGTGGAGGTTATCACAAAGGTAATTATAATGTTCATACTAATTCTTGGATACATAAACTTTATAAAGTATTGAAAAGAAGGGCAACAGACGAGGAATTATTAAGATTTCAAAATAATTTTGTTGATGAAGAAGATTTAATAGATGATAGAAGTAGTACTACTTCAACAACAATACCAGAGGATAAAATGACAGATTATGATAGCAATTAATAATATTATTACATGTTAATATTAGTAATTTAAACTAACGAAGCATTGCAAAATTGTAAAGCAGGAAGTTTATATATTAATTTGTCAGATTTTTCTTTCTCTAGTTTCTCAATTCGTGTCACACATTCTTGAAGAGATTTAATAATTAAAGTGTCTGCTCGTGTTTTTTCATCTATACTTAAATTCTTAATGTCTTCCAAACTATTATTTTCATTATTTTTACTTTGACCAATACCCATTATATATAATATTATTTAGATTTTAATTGTTCAATAATATTTTTGTGGTTATTCTTCTTCGTCTTCAGTTGGTGCTGGTATTTCTGTTGGACTTTCAGATGAAGAACTATGGACAGTAATAGGTGGAGAACTATGAACACTAATAATTTCATTAGAATAACTACTGCTACTTTGTGCATGTCCTGCCGTTATCTGATTGACTAAATCTGCAATGTGTATAGTTGTTGCAATTGCACTGTGCGATAAGTTTAATATGATATCTGCTACTGTAGCGCCGTTGTGTAGCATTATTTATATCATTTTTGTCAGTTTGAACTTCTTTCTTCTTCGTCGCTGTCCTCCTCGTCTGGTGGTTTCTTTGGCAATGGTTCTGGTGATTTGTTGTTGTCAAGCATTGTAGTGAATGCTGACACCATTGCGTCGCGTTGGTTTTTCAGGGTTTGCGTTGCTTGTGTTCTTGTTGGTTCATTTCTTTTGTATGTGTTGTGCCAAAAGTTTTTAAGCATTATTTTAAACATATTGTCCTGGTGTTCCTTTACCTT